ATATAATTTATATAAAGATATTTAAATTTGTATTTAACAAATAAGATTTTATTATTTATATTTGATGCAATATACGAAACAACAATTAATTTTGTACGAAAAAACTTACTTATTATTAGTTATTGTTATATGAAACAAAAATATAGTACAATAAATATTAAATTTTAATAATATCATATTAAATTGCAAAATTGACAATATACATTAACAATAATAAAGATACAAAATATTAAAACTTTACAACCCCCTGTCATTAATAAACATAAAATCAACGAACAAGTAAATATTATAACTTATAATGATTTGATTTGACTAATATTTTTTTTCGATTAAATGTATTGTATAATATCACACGAGATAGCAGGTAATTTAAATAAATCAAACCATAGTAGCTAATAATTGGCAACAATAAAATATTAATTATTTTGGTTACATAATATAAATAGATATGAATGACATTTAAAAAGAAACTAATTTAGTAATTATTCAATAATGATGGTGATTTTTTAAGTAACTTGCTTAATAATCTTTACATAAACTACAAACGAGGTGTAAAAAAAAGAATTTGAAATTTGAACTTAAAGCACTTCCCCCACCACTAAAACTTTTGTGAATGCTACCAAAGCCAAACAATTTAACGAAAAATTGTTTCCTCTTTTTACGTATAATTTTCTCAATTTAATATAGTCGTTTGGGTAATTTGTTTTCAATAGCTCTTCGGAATAAAAGCAACCGGCGCAATCGGTTTACCAGTATAATCTTGCAATTGATAATTAGTGGGTAAACGTCTCGTTTATTTTAAAAATTTTAAATATTCCTGTAGATTAGCTCGATAAATAACCTTTTGTAAATACACATTTTTGTGTACTAATACGAACGTTATCACCAACTTTAAATTTAATTTTCTTCGTTACAAATTGTTCGTTGTTTTATTACCACTGTAAATGATGGATTTGCATCAGCAAACATCGGTGTCATGCCTATTTTCCTATGTTTTGAATTATTATATTTTATTATCAATGGTGGTAAGTAGAAACCCATTCGTGCGATCTTCGTGCTGTAAACTCCTTATACATTTTTTCTTTTAATGTACAGTTGAAACGTTCTACTAATTACTATACAATCCTTCATGGTGCTGTACGTTGAATATTTATATTTGTTATATTTAGACGTTAATGCGTCAAATGTTGAACTGTAAAATTCTGAACCATTATCGAGCTGTAATAGCAATGGTGAGCGTTTGAATAGTATTTTAAACATTGCATATGAAACTTCTTTAGCAATTAAAGATTTTAATGCTATTGCCCACTTCAATAGTGTAGCTGAATTGCCTGTTCAATACGCCGTGTGATCATAATACACAGCATGTCCAGAAAGTAAGTTCCGTTGGGCAATAAAAACATGTAAATGTGTAAATTTTATTATAAATTTTATTTGAATATAAAATACATGTATTACTCTATTTTTCAACATAGTTACCACTATTATTTAAGCACTTATCATATCGAGGTACTAGTTTTTGTATCCCTTCATCATAGAAAGATGACGCCTGTGATTGTAACCATGCGCTAATAGCCTTTTTCACCTCATCATCTTCGTTGAAGTTCTGGCCACCCATAAATGATTTCATGTGTAAAAAAAGATGAAAATCACTGGGTGCCAAATCTGGACTGTAGGGCGGATGATTAAATTGTTCCCATGCACGACAATGCCCGCCCGCACACAGCAAATGTGACAAAACAACTTCTTGCAGATTTTGCATGGGAACAATTTAATCATCCGCCCTACAGTCCAGATTTGGACCTGTGAGATATCGACGATATCGTATATTCGTTCTAAAATACTCATTCACCAGGTAAATGAGCAGACACGGCACCAAAGGGAGGCAAGTTGGGGCTCTAGCCCCCCCCCCAGAAAACAACTCAGATATTTCGCCAGCTCCCCTACTAAAAAATATGTACGAATGTACGATATAATAAAGTCATAAAACATTTTTTTTTAAAGAGTTACATCAGAGAATTTATAAAATATACTTTTTAAAAATTAGTAATATTATGTAAATACTTTCGTATTTTCGAAGATATGTGTTCTAAGTTTTTGCTGTTAATAACAGCCTGTTATAAAAACCGATTTAATAATAATAATATTTTATACATAAAAACCGAAGAATATTTATAATTTAATGTTTGTTGTATACAGGTAGAAATATTTTTAGTTTACTTATTATTTTTAATATGTTTATTTAATACACTAATATCGTGTAAGAAGTTACTTAATTATTAATAAAAAAAAGGATTTCTTTAAGTATCTACGTTTTAATATATATCCATGAACTATTTTAACCTCCAAAATTCAACAAAAAATACAAAGTAGATTCTTTAATACATAATATACTATGCAAATACCAATTTAAAAATGCATTGAATTAAAAACTTGAAATTTACTAGTTAAATGTCAGGTAGGTAATCACAAATTTGTGTTTAAAAAAATATTATTCCTACTGGTATTGATGTAATTTTATATATTTTTGTTAACTATTTTAACGTTTTAAGATTTTCAATCATTTAGTGTTTGGTGCATAAACATATTGTGTAAAATATCAATATTTAGTTTATTTAATATATTTGTCACTACTAAATAATTGAATTTAGTATAGATTATAATAATTTAATTAATGAAATTTTAACATATAACATCTTCAGTCCTTTTTACGGTGGATTAACTTACTAGTATTATCTAATAAGGAAAAAATCTACTACAATTTTAATAAAATATGTTTTGAAATTTGTAAAATAAGAAAAAAATCTTTTATTTATTTATTATTAGTTATTACCTACTTTTATTGAGTACCAATCACTGGATGAAAATAAACAAACAAAAGTATCCCAAATCATTGCATTAAAAGTTGAGTAAAATAAATTCATCTGTTCATAACTAAACACAATTACTTTAATTTATATTTATGAATTGTAAGTAAAAGAAACATAATTTTCATTCACAAAGGTAAGTAATAAAGAAATTATCATTTTCGTACATCATCATTATTAATATAGTTGTTGAAGGTCTGTGATCTAACATTTTCATACATAAGGTACATAAAAAAATTTATATTTTATTTGAATAACCTCAGTATTTGTTGAAAAAATCTTAGCCATGTAAAAAAATTGTTGCCCCGCTCTACCCTCCCCCCTCTGAAAAAAATTCTAGTGCCGTGCTTGTAAATAAAGCAAAATCTTGGTAATATAGCTAGTATATTATTTATCTAGTGCAGACTATAATAGCCTATGTTATTTCTAAAATTGTAAGAAACAATTTAAAAAAATATCATCATATTGTTCCATTAGTTTATGAGCTGATTAGATCAAACAAAAATAGAGAGAATTTTAAATATTATTAAAGATTTAAAAATAGGCATGCATAATACGATAAAATCCCAAGTCTGGTAGTATAAATTTGATACAAATCTGCAGGCACATTTTGTTTTTACCGCTTGCAACCGTAGTAGATTATACTGTAAATGATGAGTAAATATTACGACAGCAAGTGGTCAACACTATGTACAATTAGTGTCATAGTAATTTTATATACGAGTATACGTACCAAACTATATACAAGAAAATCATTATCAATCGTCAGCTACTGTCAGGCACTTCAAACGGTGGCAGGGTAAATGGCGTAGGTAATCATAACACGTAGTTAAGACGCATATTTATTAGAGATGCAAATACTTAGTTACTAAATATTACCATCGAACAGTCACAACAATAATTATTATTAGTACTACACTACTATAGCTATTAAACATTTATACTTCATAGTATAATACGTATACAACATAAGTATTAACAGTGACGTAGTCAGGGGAGAGGTTTTGGGTGTTGTAAGCCCACATTCATTTTTATTTAATTATTTTAATATTTTTAATTGTTTAGTAAATTAGTGATCAAAACTAGAAGACTATGATTAATGTAATAAAGTTCAAATACTTTTACATTATAAACAACATAATTCTAATTAAAATGTATACTTTGAATGACCTTTTTTTTTCTTTTGTTTTCTATGTTCTGACCCGTTACAATTTTGAGTTGTCCATCCCTGGTATATATTATGTAAATCATAACTCCCCCTCCCCCATTCATAAATTCTGAATTTACCACTGTATTAAATATATTAGACTTTAAAAACCGAATAACAGACGTCGGGAGATAGATTAATAGTTTAATAACTATTGCTAGAAACAATTACATTTTTTTGTTTTTAATTAAGTATCATATGCTACCATTAAGAAGGTTTAATAGTATAAAGTTGAGTACCTACCTAATTAAGACACAACTTCGTATTTCATCGGTGGTTATTTGTAAATTTTGATCCTAGATCTAATAGAAATAAAAAGTTTTAAAGGTTTCTATATTTTTAAATTATAAAATTAATTGTCTACAATTATTTTTTTTATTGTATTTAGCAATATCTACTAGATCTCAGTTTTCACTTTTCTATAAAGTACCTATAATCAATTATATTTCAAAATAATTTGATAATTATTATTGATAATAGGTCTTAAAATACAATTTAAAATTTGTATGTTGTTAACTGTTAAGGAACGCATTCTTAGTAGTGTATTTAGATGTTTAAATATTATATATTATATTATATGTTATAAAACTTTATTTAATAAATGCAATAAACTGAGTGCTTGTTATCAGTACTGACTTTAGTTCTATAGTAAATAGTAAATGATGAGCAATTAAAATTGCCATAAAATTTATCATAATTTGTGATAAATAAAAAGGTAGTATAAGTATCAGGTAATCTTAATAATAACTAAAACATTTTCATCATCTTTACAAATTTCATAAATTACAATTTTATCGCAGCAAATAATAAATTGATAAAAAAAAAACACTACAAAAGTTCAAGACTGGTTTAACTTTATTTTTCTGGTTTCCTATGTATAAACCAAATTATATATTTTATGCTTGCATTTTAATGACTGTAGCCCTTAAAACACCTACTAATTTCTCTGTGTTCTTCTTCTTCTTGATATTGTATTTAATATTACAATTATATCTATTATCTATTAATAATATTATAACTATTTAAAAAATACAAATAATATTATATTTGAATCGATTAGACATAGATTTCAAATACCTACTTAATTAACAGTTATGTGTATCATATTCATTAGTAGTGTACAACACATAAATGATGGATATCGTTTGATTATTGCTTCTAATCGAGATGAATATTATGATCGTCAGACGTTGCCAGTAAACTATTGGTTAGAGGATAAGAACATCATTGGAGGTATAAAATTGTCATAGAAATATTTTTATAATTCATAATAATTTAAAATAATTTACAGGACGGGATTTGATGTCATCAAATGAAGGTGGTACTTGGTTGGCTTTAAACATCCGAGGTAAGTTGGCTGCTTTATTAAATGTGTTTGAATTAGATAAAAGACCAAATGCTAAATCTAGAGGCCATCTGGTTAAGAACTTTGTAAAAGGCAATACTTCAACCCTAGAATATTTGCAAGAATTACAAAGTTCACAAGATATGTATAATGGATTTAAACTGATTACTATTAACATAAGGTTAGCATAAATAAATTAAAATAATTTATATATTAAAATATTATATTTATATTTTGTATCTATGTTCAAAGCAAGCTATCTTTAGAAACACATTTCTTTACCAATTATGTACAAGATGAAGGACCAGCATTGAAACACATACAAAATGGTGTACATGGATTTGGAAATGGACCTTTTTTAAAAGTGGCTGAGGGAGAGAAACTTTTCAATGACATTGTTAAAAAATATGGACATAGTAATCATAAAGATATACTAATCAAAGAACTGCTAGGATTTTTGAAATGGGATAAGCTGTAAGAAGAAATAAAAGTATACAAATATGCCAAAAATCAAAGCTAAATTTAAACCTGTTGTAGACATTATCCTGATGAAGAGTTGATCAAACGAACTCCAAAATTTCCTGGAACTGATAATCAGAAGAAATTTAGTTCCATTTTTGTAGAAATGCCAACTCGTCGTTACGGTACTCGGTAATTTATTGTTAATATCTAGTTTGATTCTACATATGATTTTTAATTTTGTAACATTTTATTTTAGAACACACACAATAATACTAATAAATCATGATGGAAAAATAGAATATAACGAATGGACCAAATCCGGTTCAGTTTGGAATCATCAATGTTATACAGACACTCTAAAATCTGAAGTATAGAATATTGTTCTATATATTAGTTTATATATTCTTTAAAATAAAAACTTTAAAATTAATTTTTAGTTTTAAATGTTGTTAAATTTAAACACGTATTCTATTAAATAGAGATAAATAGGTAGATATACAATCCCTTATTTACAATGGTAAACTAATGGTAGGTAATAACTAATAAATAATATTGTTAACATTTAGCATTCCTTCTAGCCAATGTATTAAACTGACCTTTTGTAGTACAGTACACTAGCACACAAATGTCTGGCCCAGTGGAAAAGCAGCATTAGTTTAATTTTTATGAGTTTTTAAATTGTTACTATTTACAGAAAATTATTGTAATAAAAATGTTTAAACTTGTTTCATTTTTTTTTTTTTTTTTTAATGGATGATTCGTATAGTTACTAATTTTTTTTTTTTTGAAATACTGGACTTTACAAGTTCTATCACTATATGCATTTAAAATGTTAACCACTTGCAGTTTTTCATGAACAAATAAGCAATCGAGACTTATATTTGGGTAATTTCTCTCTAAAGGTTGAGAAACTATACCCTATTTCCAAATGAAAATGTACCAGGCAGTGAAAAAAAACTGGTTGAAACCCGCGCACTTAAAAAGAACTTCTATATCATGATAAAATTTATTTTTTGTGTTTTATTTAATATTATTTAGTAACTAATACAGAATATCATGTAAGTTAAAGAAAAAATCTTTTTAGGTCACTTTTCAGATGAAAGTTTAGCCAAAAACCCATTAAATTTTGGCTTTATGGTTATTGTATAACATTCCAATCAAAAATTATTTATATATAATACCACACCGATCAAATGCTGTTGACATCGCCTTTTAAAGAAATTATCCTTACAAAAGTATATATATTAAAAGTTTTAAACAGTGCTGGGCTGAATAAAATCTGTATTTTCATTATTGTTTATTAATGACAACCCACATCTATAACCATTTTATAAATATATTATAATATACCTAAATAAATTTATTTTGATAGTCATTATTATATTATTATAGTATTAAGTTTATACATTTTAATGGTTTAGTCTAATAGCCCTAGAAAGTTTGCAACTCATTAGAAATATTTCCACTATCACACCTGGTATCATACATAACACAATTTCTACTGCTATTTCTTATATTATAACATTAAAATTTAAAATGTATTAATAAATCTATTTTGTGGTATTAATGGGAAGTAAACACTGAACAAGTACAAAACTATCTAACTTGTACATTCAGATTACAGATCATAAAGTACCATTAATTTTGCACAATATATGCTGCTTAATTGATAACAATTAAGTATAAATACTTTTTTCAATGTGATAAAATTTATTTTTACAATTAAAATATCTTATTCTGACTTGTAATAATTTTATAGTAACAATAAGTAATTTAATACTAGTTTCTTTAAGTATAACTTCTTTAAGTAAATAATATATCCTATGTTAACTTATAATTGTTGTATGTCAAAATCACATTAAACCATTAAAAATGAATGCATAAATGGACTTAAATTCATTTGGTAAATTAAATTTTGTCTAAAGCATACGCAGTAAAATATTTTATTTTTTTTAATAATATAAAAATTATAAATAAACTATTCATAAATTACAATCATAAATATTTAACAATGTCAAATGTTAAACTTAGGCTTATAATAATGGTTAAATTATAATTTAAAAGGTATTGAATAAGGATAATTCAATTATAGTTTTAAACCACTGTATTTTAATAATTTGAAACAGTAGAATAGTACTATAATGAATATGGCATTTGCCTATAGTTTTCTTTTTTCTTTAAATACAATTATAGATCAAAATATAGTACTTATTAAATACTATTAACTATTGATACCATTTTTATCTGCTTGTTCCAAAAGTGCTTGTAAATTAGAATCAAACAATTCACATCGAATAGGCATTTCTAAGGAATAAAATGGATTCTTGAGAGCAAAGTCTGCATAAATTTCATAAATTTTTTTTAAAAGTTGTTCGAGGCCTACATGTGTTGGATCAGCAATAACCATAAATTTCACTCCTGAAATATACAATTGTTAGCTAAGTAATGAAATGTATTAGATAATTGTATATAGTACCAGTCAGAGTTTGAAAACATTGAAGTTTAAATGTATCAGCTTCTAAAGTTTCAATTCCAGAACTCCTAGGTTCTGGACTCAATTGTGATGCAATGGCAAATAATGGATAAAACATACTGGCTAAGAATATCTTTTCATTGATAGTCATTTTTGGCCGGCCAAATTTCAAATTAAGTGGATAATTGGTGGCATCGTTCAACATTTCTATGGCATCTTTGCCATCTTCCAGTTTTCTACCAGAAACAGGAACTCCATTGATTGCTAACAATACATGACCAACTGAAAATAAAAAACCAAATATTTTAATTTGAAAACATTCATTATTTATAGAAGTTTTTGGTCAATTGTCTATTTTAAAAAATATATATTGAAAAATTGATTTTTAATTATATTTTAAAAAATTTATAATACCTTTGATGTTGTCTCGTTGACCAAACGATACCAATAGCCTGTTGTTTTCACAAGATAGTTTAAGATCTAATGGATAACCAAATGTTTGTTCGGTTTCGATTTTTGGCACAGTGTAATCATAATTGAATATTAATCCCCCTGATTTTGACACAATGTACACACCATATATTCCCATTGTTGTTAGGCCGTTAGAAAGCTATTTGTTCAAAATATATTCTTTGTTGCGTTCATCAATAAAAATTGTAATTCTTACAATTGTTTAGTATAAATTACCAATAAATAAAACCAGTAGAATAAATTAAGGTTTTTTACCTTATCAACAAAATAATATTATATCTTAATTTATGAATAATGAATTACAAATTACACTTTTACACAATTTACTCTTCAATATTTTACATTAAAATCATTTCAATACAATATTATATTATTATTATCAGTCAGTCGTCTACACAGATAAGGTGGATGGTAATATGCTTGTTTATGTAGTATTTTTTGATGTAGTCTTAAGCTGTTATCAGAGTTGATAACAATACCATCGATTACAAATTCATAGAACAGGTGGAGATGCCGATTTCTAGCCATGCTTACTAATAATTACTTACTATGAGTGTTTTTCTGACATTACGAATTATGAATATCTTAATTTATTTGCTATAATAGCATAGCTAAACATTAAACTTTAACATTATTTTTATTATTATTAACTTATAAATACTTATAAATTATAGTACATGCTATGCTAATATCATAATAATTACTAGTGCCTTGGTATCTTATTATCTCAATGGCTCTAGTCAATACTTAATAGTGACATCCATAGACAGTACACCAAGTAAATAATAAAATCATTATTCACTACAATAGTACAATGTACAAAATAATATATACTACAGCTGTTGATGATTGATTATATATATTTTTAATCAATAATACAAATAATACAATATTGATGTTATAATATATTATTATTTATAATATTACATTTATCATGATTTTCATGATAGTTTTTAAAGCAGATATAGATATCGACAACCAAGTGTACCTCTTCAAATTTCAATCGTAATTAGATAACAATGTATTACCTATGTTAAATTTGAATTCAATAATAAATCATTTTGAACGATGGGGATTGATTCTAAGCGTTGATAATTTTAAAATTGTACTAAGAATTTTCAATGTTTAAATTCCAAAAGAATCAACTAGATCCAATTTACTTGGGAAACCTTTATCGTAGTTGATGATTAAAGCAATTCTGTATACCTATTAGAAAAAGTGCTTTATCTAGGCTCAAAAACCTAATGTAATAATAATAATAAAAATAGATTAATTTAATTTATTTAGAGTTAAAAATTTTAATTATATGTACGTCATATTATTATACAAACTCATTATAGAGATCCGATGATTGGAGGAAGATAAAATTCGTTAACTCTGAACTAAGTCCCAACTTCACAAAATGAATTACATTTATTCAAGTTTCATGAATATTATTATTTCATGACATTTAAAACTTAAAAGAACCCTATCAAGGTGCATTATATATCACATTTTCAACCGACGAAAAACGATTTTCTAATATAGCAACATCGTTTTAGCGTAGGTACTCTCTTACATTTTGTTAATTAATCATCATTCATCACAATACAGTGGACAGTAGTTACACGACAATGATTGTTATGAAAATTTATTTGCCTATAAACTTAAGTTTCATTAAAATTAATCTAAACATCATCATGTCCATAATACCCCGAGAAGAGAAAACAAGTACAACTGGACCTCCGCCTACGTGACACGAGTTTTGAATCGCTACGACCAAAGTGGTGCGTTCTCCAGTCGATTTCTCTCTCCCACGAGTCACACGCCATCACTAACTTCGAGTTAACAGTTTCGAGTCTCGACCACTGTCCAGGCGCACGTGAAATCGCCGTCGTCGCGGGGCTAACATAAAAGTTTGAATCTCATCACAGCATCTGTGACCGCTCAAACGCAGTGCCAGCACACGTCAAGCACGCCGTAAGGTACATTAGCACGGTGTAGTGCTACCAAAATATTATCTTAGAATAAAAGATTATTAATTACAGTTATAAGGCTCTAGGTCATGAGTTTATGACAGACTAAAACGACCGATTGATAAAGACCCACAGGAAACTAGAAAACGGACTGACGCCGATCGCAAGTGAGTAGTGAGTAGTGACTATTGCAAAACGTACTACGGAAGTACGAAGCGCGCCAAGCACGGTACCTACTACCTACGGCCTACGCTAATCCGCAACACAGTAACACACCGTTTCACCGCTAGCTCAATCCCCACTTGACCAGCTGCTGCGCAAACCACCTGATGTTTGAGCTGGTGCCCTATCGCCTGGCGAATCGTGCGTGCGTGCGCGCTCGCTCGCCGTGTGTGTGTGTGTGATCGTGATAACGACGTTCGTCTACCAAGACGACGACGATGTCGTGACTCGTGAGATCATTAGATGACGACATAATGTGAAAATACATACGAAACTACGAAAACGGTGTGTAAATAGAACTCGACGACGTGATAGTGATTGCATTGTTCAATTATTGTTGTCAGTACTCATTAGTCATTACTCATACTCATCGCAGTGCCGAGCAGTTACGAGATAAAGGAGAGAAGAAATAAAATCGCAAGAAAAAACCTTTGTACCTTCCATCGCGCTTACCTTCGGACGGATGTTCGTAGGCATTAATTGCGTATTTCCCGTGTAAAAATAAACGCGTCGTTTTCGGTCGACCAAAGAGGAAAAGCCTTTTTACCGTCTGCATTTTAAACGCTATCTGAGGCTCCTTGTACACAATACCATTTGAAGTTTGTGATGTCGACATCATCACTAACGATCGACCATCGCGTCTGATGCCGTTTTGTTCTGTTTTTTAAGACCCCAATGATCGAGCATAACAAGTCTGGCCAAAATATAAAACCCAAGACGAGACGACTAGGTAAACAAAAGGTAAGAGATATTTCTAATGGTTCCCGATATTATGTGTGTGTTATTGTATGATTTTGTTCTTAGCTATGCCGATCCAAGCTCCGCAATGGACCGATTTTTTGGCGTGCCCCGTATGCTGTAATGGTTTCGACGTTAAGACCCGACATCCTATTAGTTTAGGATGTGCCCATACGGTGTGCAAATCATGCCTGTCAAATCTACCTAAAAAACAATGCCCATTCGATCAAGTTAGTTGGCAATTATTTATTTATATTCGATATTATTTTTGGTTTACTCATTTATTATACTAATTAATTAATTCATTAAAAGATCTGAAAATGTTAGAGTTGAGGATTACTGTTTACTCCTTCTACAACAGTACTTTAATTGATCGAATCAGAGTACTTAGATAATGATAAGCATTAATGTATTATTGATGTTGAGTACTTATGAGTTTTAAATGTTAATCGGACTTCCTTGAAATAATTTTTAAATAAATTTCACTTAATTTTATTAGGTATTTTAAACACATTTGTTACAAAATATAGATAAGATAAATGATACGTTGTTTATGTTATGGTACTTAATAAATATAATTCATTCTTTCTTTAAGTCTGTTAACATAAATTTCTATTAAATCAAATATTTCAGCGATGCATTATTATTATAAAACACAATTAATGCAATTGTATTGTTATCAGTTCTTACTGCTTTTAGATTGCAGGTCCTACCAAATGTATTAAAGAAAAATAACTTTTACATTATGTAATCAAATTTTTTTTATTTACACAACGTGAACTGTTCCTCTGCTAAATAATATAACAATACATTAGAATAAAACTCAGGAAAATTGTTTTTTGTTATTAAAGTGTTGTCCAAAATCTAGTTATTGTTTAAATAATATTACAATAACTCATATTGAGTATAATAGTGATAAATATTGAAAATAAGATAGTATTGATGGGTAATTTTGTTTTTTCCAAAATTTATTATTTATGTTTAAAGAATTTAACTATTAATGTTTAAAACTTAAAAGTATAGTTAATTTAATTATACCAAATATAATTAAAAGTAAAGTTGATACTTTAAATACGTATTTGTAATCGATAATTTTTAAATTTTAATTTGTTTATTATTAATAGTTCAATTTTTTTTATTCTAATCCAAAATCCTGTTTTATATAATCTGTGAAGATATTTGTTAAAATATTGTTATTTTGTAAGTCTTCTCTTTAGTAATTGACTCTTAATTTTAATTACTCCTGAATATTAAAGTAGGTCATGGATAAACAATGATACTTATTATGTATTAATTGTTAGATACATTAGACTATGTAAATAATTATTTATTTATTTTTAAGTTTAAGGGAGGGTGAAATTTAAGCAAAGTATAATTTTGTGATTTAAAAAAAAAAAAAAAATTTTAGGGCATTTAAAGAAGAAATTTTCATATTTGAGTTATCAAAATTTTACAGTTTATTTCATTATCCTTTCTTATATTTTATTTTATTGAATAAGTAATAAATTACTATGATGTATGAACAATTTTATTTATTTACATTAAAAAAATAAATACACATATTAAGTAATTAGGATATATTCTTGTATTTCGTATTAATTGTCTTAAAGTTATTTTTTTTAAGATTAAATTTACTTAAATAGTTACATTGGTATTATATTCTTTACAGAATTTAATTAACATAGAAATTGATCAACTTCCAATCAATTATGCTTTACTTCAATTGGTGGGAGCATCAATACCAAACAATGAAAACATTCCAAAATCTATTTTAAAGAATATGTCTTCTGATGAACGGCTTCTATATAATAAATCAAAGAAATGTGTAGAACATCTGGCATTATACCTTAAGTCATTCGCAACTGGTATTTTTTTTATTTCATGTACACTAGACAATTAGTATAAATAAATATTTTAATAAACTTATTAGGTGGTGGTCAATCAACAAGTGCTGGACTATCACGGCCTATGCAACGTAAATTAGTAACACTAGTGAACTGTCAGCTTTTAGAAAATGAAGGCCGCATGAGAGCCATCAGAGCAGCTAGATCTCTTGGCGAGCGTAGTATGACAGAACTTATACTTCATCATCAAAGTGCTCAACAATTATCTACAAATTTATGGGCTGCTGTTCGAGCTCGTGGTTGTCAGTTTTTGGGACCAGCAATGCAAGAAGAAGTATTAAAACTAGTTCTACTAGCTTTGGAGGATGGTTCTGCTTTATCAAGAAAAGTCTTAGTAATGTTTGTGGTTCAACGATTAGAACCACATTTTCCTCAAGCATCTAAAACTAGTATTGGCCATGTAGTTCAACTACTTTACAGAGCTTCATGTTTCAAGGTATATTAATTGTTTAAGATTTGTGTTAAAGTCAATATCTATTACTCATTATAACTTACTGATTATCAGAAATTAGAAACTACATTTTAAATATCATGAGTTCAATATTAATTATGATCCCTAATAACTTGTTGTTAAATAATATTTTAAATTATAAAATAGTTAATTTTATATTTTGATATTTTGAATATATTTTATAGAAAGTACTGATTTCTACATATTGAAATTGATAACCTTCTTTATTTAATAACTATATTAAATTTATATAATCATTATTGTTGGATTCTTTTATAAATATGTTAATAATTTTTTAGCAAAATAAACTCATAGTTAGTCTCATTAGTTATACACACTAAGTATTTTTGTAGTTTATAAATAAAAATATATTTTTAATTTAAACTAGGTATTTAGTTACAATGTCGGTTAGTCTATTTGGGTTTAATTAAAGTTCTGAGTTATTTATGTATATTTAAAATATTAGTTTATATTTTTATTAAACACATAATTTTATTAGGTTTCTAAGCGTGATGGTGATTCTTCATTAATGCAGTTAAAAGAAGAGTTCCGTACTTATGAGAGTTTAAGACGTGAACATGATGCCCAAATTGTAGAAATTGCTACTGAAGCTGGACTGCGTATAGCTCCTGACCAATGGTCAGCACTTCTTTATGGTGATTCAGCACACAAATCGCACATGCAAAGTATTATGGATAAGTTGCAAAGTCCTCAGTCGTTTTCACAATCTGTTCAGGAACTTATTATAGCATTACAGCGGACTGGTGATCCAGCTAAATTATCATCTTTAAGGTCAAATTTTGAACTTTTGGCAGCAGTTGACCCTAATCCTAGTGAGTTTTATTATTATATTGAATAATTAAAATTACTACAATTTAATTTTTATTCAACATAGGTTTGGAATGGTGTACTTGGGAAAAATTGCATTCTGTTCTTGAAAGTGCTAAAATAGTAGTAGCAGGGTTGACTGACTTTGTTAAGTCCCATGGCAATACTAATAAAGGATTGAAGAATGAATCTATACAAAATCAAACTAATGTACCTAGGTATAAAGTTAGTTTATGTCGAGATTTAATGATTCGAGGTACATGCCCAAGAGGTGGTGGTTGTACATTTGCTCATTCAGAGGAAGAATTAGAAAAGTAAATGTTATTACACATACTTAATTCTTAAATATAATCATTATTTTATTCTTAGATATAGAAATAAAAATCGGAAGAATAGTCGATTAGCACCAATGGTTGTTGATCACGATTATTTAACAAATAAATCTAATTTTATGCCAAAAGAACAATTTGATTTTATTCATAATAAAAAACCAATAATGTTACCTGAAAGTACGACCTTTAAATTTTTTAACTTTAAATGTTGATTTTTTTGTTTCTAATAATCTATACATTTTTTAGATACTCAAGATTTGACATCTATTCCTGTAGAACATTCGTATATTGTACCAACAGGACAAAATTTTTATCAGAATGGTCAACAACAAATATATCCTGTAGGACAATATGGTCATGAAATATACGGGTAAGTGTTAATATTAATTTGATGCTACTTATTGTAGTATTAAATTACAAAATAGAATTAATATACAAAAAATTTTCTAGTCCTGGACCACCGCATCCACATGGTATGCTTATAAACCCTAACAATAAAATGTACATGGATCAAAACATTCCTGGTCATTCTAGTAAAATGGTATGTGGCCTGTGTAACTGTAATAGTATAATATAAAGCTTTATATTTAAAATTGTGTCTTAGAAAAATTTATCATCAAGTTTAGTCTCCCTTCAGAATCGCAAACAAGAACTTATGGGTCAAATAGACAGAGTAATGACAGCATGTTCTATTACACCTGATCAAGTGGTAGGTTTTTTTTTTTTAATTGAATAGGAACAATTGTTCAATGACTAATATAATTATTAAATGTTTGTTTTGTATAAAAGGATTTTGATCGTTATTCAATGTGGGATAATGGATTATTTCACACTAAAACTGGACTGCCTTCTCCAGTCAATATACAAACTGGACGTCCCATGTTAATCAGGTAAAAAAAATAAGATATATTTATTCATTTTTAGTATCAACTGCACATGTACATTCTTTAACTATTTTACATTTGCTAGATTCTGCCTCTTGCATTTTTTTGTAAACATCAATTAGTGGTTGACATGGTTTTGGTTCCATTTCATTTGATGAATAATATAATTTCATTTTTATTGGTTTTTCTAACATTTCAAAACGTTCATTCCACATTCGTTTTTTGTGGTCAACCTATTTTTCCAAAAATTAATTAGTGTTTGGTAACAAACTTTATGCTTTATAATTACTTGATATTCTTTAAGCCTTAAAAAATGAACCCAAAAATAACTATTTATCATTAATGATGCACCAAATATTCCCCATATTAATGCTCCTGATGGGTTTTTCTTGAGTAATCGCCAAGAAATAAGCTCATTCAGGCGAGTTCTTGTCAAAGTCAATGGATTTTTTGCACTTATATTGCTCATCTTTACTTTAAAAATAATAAAAGTACTTAAATAAAGAAATTATACATTAAAATAATTTATTAGGTTAGTGAATAACAAACAATTGTATGTTACTACTTTTAACAGCCAGTATATTATATTTTTTATTTACTTACAAAAAATAAAATATATAAATAAATTATATAATAAAATTAATTTATGTATGAAGTGTACCTATTTAAAGTATCAATTTGTTCTTGAGTAATCAATGTTATTACTTTATTTTATTTTATTTTTTGAGGAAATTAATAATCGTTTAAAAATGTAGTAATGTGAAACATTCCATTGTTTTTTATTATTAATTATTCAACTCAAATTACATAATTATTGAAATGTTAATTTAATATCAGTAAATATTATACACTAAATACTGATAACTTTTATATCCTTATTGTTACTGAATAAAGCATTAATTTCCTTGACTATATACGGTACTGTATTATTGATAATGGTTAGTTATTATGAAATTTCCTTAAAATATTATTTTTCTTGTAATTTCAATTTTGCTTTATTACTAGTTTTTATAACAAAATACATGTATAAGTAGTAACAAATATTCAAAATCATCTTTTTTAAATATGTATCATTTATTAAAATTAAGTCATTAGGTTCCATATGGTGGCCCCATAATTGATCAATAGTTTTAACACTTAAGTCTATATTTGTTACAATCAATGTTTATATTTGAAAAAAAAAAAAAAAGGAGGTGGTGCAATGTATAACAAAAATTGTGTATCTTAGCTGAAGATTTAAATATAATATATGTCTTATTAATTAAGATATATGAATGGATATGCTAAAATATTTTTAAAATAGAAAATATACTCCTTTCTTGCACCACTTAATACTAAAATTGTCATTTTAAGTTTTATGACTTAAGTTAAATAGATTTTATTAGGTATATTATTACATAGTATATATTGTAACTTGTCCAAATTTGGGATTAAAGTTTTGTCTTACTATTTTCAATTGATATTTGTAATGTAATATTAAATTTCCTAAAGCTTTGATATTATTTAAATGTCATTTAAAAATGTATTAATACATTAAAATCCTTTCTTGGTTTTGACAGGTCTGATTCAATTTTGGCAGATCCAGATGAATTTGTGCCATTTGAGTTGGCAGTTAATGGAAAGTATGGCCCTATTGGAGGTAATGGTAATAATCCTGTAGCACCTCCTCCACCTCCACAATCATCGACAGTGGTTAATAACAACCAAGCGGTTGGAGCAAAGAATGGAAAGTCGTTGCGGCGACCATGTACATTATCAATACCTGCACCAGCTGCTGCTGCTGCACAGGCTCAATTTTTTAGCTCTACAACAACCACAACGATAACGACACCTCTTGGAACACTTCGCGGAGCACGTAACAGTCCAGTAGCTGCGTCTTGGTATTTTAATTCACCTCAAGGTTATCCAGCCGCTGCTCATATTGTCGCGTCACCTGTTGGTGCAATTGGACAAAGTTACATTACTATACATAGTCCAGCTGGTATAATGGAACCACCAAATTTTTTTGGTAGTCATAAAGCTCCCAAAAGGTTAGTAATTAAAACTATAAATAATATATATCACTGTTACTTTTATTACTGAAAACGACAACAATTTTTATCATTTCAGTTTAATGGCAGAGTCACAAAAAATGAAGAATCAATTAAAAAATTTGGAAAAAAAAATAAATGACCTTAAAGTAATATTCTTTTCGCAATATTTTTTTTAAATTTATTTTAAATACTAATTTAAAAAAAATTTTATAGCTTGCTACTCATAATGTAGCTGCTAAAGAAACTGATAAATTATCTGAAGAACTGGCAAAAATTGAAAGAGACATTCAAACAAAAGAACAGCAATTTTTGGTGAGTATTATTTTTTATTTTAATAAAAGTAGTTTAACATAAATTGATCATTTTTATAGTTCTATAACCTTTTAATCTATACAAAATAACATCACTAATAATTTATATTATTTAAACTTGTTAAACAATTTTTTAAATTCTGTGTTTTAAATTTGTTAGCTTAAGATTTAAGCTATTAAAATTTAATTAATTGGTTCACAAATAATACTAAATTGATTCATAATTATTTTAAGACTCAATGGCATTCTGAAACAGCCACAATAACTACTTGGGGTGATGGTATCTGGTCAAGTACCACTTCTTCAGGGTTTACTGCTCAACAAGTAAGTTATCAGTTATTATTTTAATAACAATCTTTTAATAAATGTCTTTCATTAAAAAATATTTTTTAATTGAATTTTAATTTAATTAGTTTTTTTTTTAAATAACATAATATGTCAATTAAAATAAAATTTATTTTCTTATTTTCTTTTTTAGGACGACGCTTATAACAGTAATGGTGTTAAACAAGCGGAATTAAAATGGGATGGTGATGACAACAAATCAGAAAAATCTGTGGTAGAAGAAGTTTAAAGTTATAGTATTAACGTTTGGTGTACTATAATAATTTAACTATTGAAAAAATATGTTTATATTTCTTGAATTTTACCAATTTTATTTGCCAAACAACATAATGCTTTATAATTTTTTTAAATAATGTGATATTTGTATTATTATTATAGTTATTATTTTTTAATAATGTTAATGTTTTCTTGTACGACATGAAATTTTATTCTTGTATTTTATTATTTTTTTTTTTTTTTTATGGTTAATCTGACCTAAACACAATGAACACGTATAACTTACTCTTGTATAAGTAACAATAATTTGTTATAATATTTTGTGATTTATTTTTTTTTCTGTTTTAATAATTAATTGTAATTTATAAATGTGCAACTGAACTAAAATTCTCATAGTTACCATAATGTTTGTTGCGATAAGCGTTTATTTTATTATATCCTATTGTCAAATTATATTATCATGTCAAACATGAGTTATTGTTATCTAAGAATATAATAATTTAATTTTTTTAAGTTATGGCTATATCGTAAAATTTATATTAACTACGCGATTATATTAATCTACAGCATGTTGAGGGTAAAATTATATTAGTTATTTTATTTTTTACAAAACATTTATTATGTATAATTTTTAATCGGCGGTATCGGTATCTTAACACTTAAAAATATTTATTATTATTGTTTTATATATATACACCCAACCTTATTGCAAAATAAAGAACTATTTTATATATTATAAAATATAAATTTTAGTACGTTTTGTTTTTATTTTTAAAACAGGTGCTTGTATTTATTCATGACAGTTATTTACATTTTAATATATTTTGCAATGTATTTTCTAGAATCTAATTATTCTGTTCTATTGAAAAGTCAAAGTAGTAAAGTACATATAATTTATCAAATGGAAAGTATTAAATACATTGAATTGTAGTTATGATATTTTTTGTGCACGTGTGTGTAAAAAGAATTTTAATTGGAAAAAAATACTTCAATCTTCAACTTAGATAAATTTTCTGGTAAGAAACTGTTATTAATTTGTGGGGTTAAGAGAAAAAAATTGTAGGTAAGTGGATAAAAACTATGCAGAAACAGATTATAAGGATTTATCACCAAGTGATATTTTAAAATAAAATTTAATAAATTTTAAAAATACATAAAAAATGGCTTTAGATATAAAATTATCCAGTTTTTCCAAATTTTTTTGTTTGTTTTTCTCTATTATAAAATCATATTTAAGCATTGGGCTTTTATCGAGTTCTTTTATATAGGTCGTCTTCTATCCTCTTCTCTAGGTTTGTTGAGAAATATTGATACTTTCAATTTAATTATTATTATTTATTAAAATTTATTAGGCAGGTACTTATATTTTAATTATCAATTTTCGAACTATTGTTATAACTGTGGTACAATGTTATATTATTGTTTTTAAATTATCTGAACAATGAACATATTTTATTAACCAATTTTAATATTATTACAATTTAATAAATAAAGAGATGATAGAAGACGCAAAAATTATCAAAAGAAAATAAGACAAATTAATAATTATGAGAGTAACCATAACCCGATGTGTTCCATCTTATTGTATCTGGGACACACTTCATGAATTTGATTTATAAAATAAGACATCTAATAGGTAAAATTAATTAGTAAAATTGTAAAATACCTTAAAATATTTTAAGTACTGGTTATTATAATAAATTGCAAGAGAAACCATAATTTATAAAACAATAAACGATTCAAAGATATCAGTCTTGTATTAAATTTTAAAAACAACAATAGATATCAATCATAAACAAGAATAAATACAACTTCAATCTTTATTATAATATATAAGAAATATAATAATAAGTGCATAACGTTCATAATAAATATATATACAAGACACAAAACTATAAATAAATGAGAAACTTTTAATAGGTACCCAGGTATGAATTGTTTTATTTGCGAACTAGGTAAGTTGTGATGTGATCGAGTGTGCAGAAATTCACAACAATTCATTGAATAAATATAAAAAGAGAATAATATATTATACAAAAAAATGAGAAATTAATTTTTTTTTTTTTTTTTTTAATCAGTAAAAACTAAAAACGCTTAACTTATTGGTTAACATTGCTTTGTTTAAAAAGTATAATAACTTTATTTTTATATTCAATGTCTGAAAACCGACAATGAAAAAATTTACATCTAAATTTTGTATTTATTCACTTTTGAAAAAAGTTTTATGTTAAACAGTAAAAAAAACGTAAAATAAAATGTAGTTACAAATAAGCCACATCCAGTAAATATATTATAAATTTATAATCTGGGGGAGTTCACGATACAACGATGGACTGCCGATTTATAGTTTTTTTTTTAAATGGTCACAAGTTCTGTATACATAGCCTGTAAAATGCGCATTAGGCTAACTTTCGAATAATTATAAATACATTATACAAATATACAATATAGAATATTCATAATAATAATAATTGACGTATACTGTGTAGATATACATCAGTTTCACGTTATTCGAAAATCATTAAAATTTTATTATAAACCATGTAAATGTATTAGTTACATTATATTCATATATAAGGTCAATAATATAAGCTAATAAAAATATTCAAGCGGTTACGTAAAGTGATAAATGATAATATAATAAAGTTTATGAAATCAATAAAGATGAAAAACGACGATGTAATAAATATTATTATTAGGTAAATTGAGTTCTTTAAATAATGGCTGACATGTAATTACAGCTAATGTTATTTTAGAGTTTTTATAACATGTATATACTTGTTCAATGTCCATAGACGATATTATGCGCAACAATACACCAACTATTACGAGTTATGAAAACAAAAAAGCGTTCAACATCAGTTTAAAACGAAAAATAGACAAAAACAAATCCGATGAGATCTATTTAATCGATAATCGACGCTTACAGTCAATTATGGGCACTCCTTTTCACTGAGACTTTGAAGATGCCGCTTCGCGTCTGATGTACTCAGTCTTAGCCATTTCGGTGGCAATCCATTGCGGTACGTCCGGAATCAGACAACTTAATGCACATCGGAACGCTAACATTATATGCTGCAAAGTAATACGATTATAATATAATATTAAAATTATCGAATCACCTAAACTTATGTCTTATAGCTTATAGGAAATACACAATACACATACATCTATAAAACACTTTCAAACCATGTGCAAATTGAAAATTTCAGTTGTCTATAAATAGCTCAAAAAGTCAAAATATTTTGAAAATTAAATCATGTAAAGAAAATACTAATCTAAATAACTGGTAAAATTTTCAAGTATCTACGACTTATACTTTTTGAATATTAACAAATATTTAAAATCGTTTGAGGATAAATCGTTATCGTTACGCTATTTCGTAAAAATTTAAAATTCAAACGCACTTAAAATTTTTCCTATAATGATGCTTCGAGTTTTTATTATAGCTACTTGAAGAAAAACTTAGGGAAAACATTGTGCAGTACTTTTAATTCTTAGTTATAAACACAAAATTTTTTATGATTTTTAAACTTCAAAATTACTTACAAATTTTCGCGTTTTCGATAGATTTTGTAAATATTTGAACTATAAACGTTTATAAAAAAAAATTGTGATTAACGATTTTTATTTTTTTTTTAGCTACAATAAGAACAACTCATAAGGAACCTTGTATTAAATTTTTAAAATTTTTGGACATCCAACATTTTTTTATCGACACTTCAAAAACAAATTCTCATAAAAATCGATAACTTCAGTGGTCTATAAATAACTAAAAAAAAATCAAAATTTTTTGAAAATTAAACTGTATATAGATAACATTAACATAAACATTTGGTGAAAATTTCAAGTATTTATAGTAATTATTAAGGATATTCACTTTGCCATCGGAAACCACCCCCGAAGTTTGAAATTGAAGCATTATTTCGACTACTTATGCTGTACACAAAAAAAAAAACACACACATCATTGTAAAATCAATACTTTCATCACTCTGTTCAGAATCTAAAATTATAGTTATAGCTATAAATATTTAAAATTATAATTTTTTTTTTTTTTTATAATACAAGAAGGTAATTCAAAATTTGGCCAGTTAAATGGCTTATCTCGTACAACATCTATAATATCAGTATGCTATCAGTTGCATTGTTATTGAAAAGTATATTAATAAATAATAACATTTAACACATAGAAATTTTATGAGAGCAGCGAGTTTATCGTATGGATCTATTTAAATATGAAAACATGGTACATTTATTTACACAAGATAGAATAATAATGGGGACTTGTGGTGTCCGTATCCCATCTACCATTGCACACTAGATACGTGTTGTTAAGGGTGATGTGTTGAGACTGGGGAATTAGGGATATTGCACATGGATAAAAAAAGTCTCTATAACATTTTTTAACTAACAACGCCTTATTGTTATACTAAATGCCTAAATATAATATATAATGCGACTAAAAGTTTTACTGTTTTAGCCAACCTCAAGAGCGACGATCAACAGAACGGTTTGAATGGCAGTCATGTCAGGCAGCAATCGATGGACTTGACCGCTGAGACCAATCAAAGCACAGTTTACAAGCACGGCGATGAATCCCATCACTTCCATGATGTTCTGCACAAAACGAAAAAATAATTAATTTTAATTTTCCGTAGACTAATTAATTATTGCGTAAAATATATGATATATATTAATATATTATGTCATAACTTATAAATTATAATATTATATAGTTCGATGAGACAACCTAATACCTGCCACATTCCGATGTCTTTGATCCGTTGACCGAACGGTCTTTGGTACACATAGCACATTTTGAATGCATCGCTACGTATTTCAATTAGATTATTGAGGAATGCGCACAAAGCAGCCAGTGGGAACGCTGATGAGAACATTACCACATAACCAAATTGTATAAAAATTTCCAAGTGTTCGGAGAATGTACCGTCAAACTACGTAAACAAAACGATAAATTAAGGATTTTAACATTAGTAGAAAACGTGCTTAATGCGGATATTTTCTATGACATTAAATTACTTCTTTTTTCTATACATTTTGGACCTTCCTCAGAAGATTTAAATTTATGAACATTCACACCTTACCGCTTTTTCATAAAGTAAAAAGCCCCTATTTATTATAATTTTGATTTTTGATGGAGGGAAATCTCAGTTTTCTTCTATAGTGGAACAAGGGTGTAACTAGAATCATTTTTAGAGATGGAGGGGTGAAAATTAAAGGTGTAAGTTCAAATCTGAGTTCAAGATGTCTAATAATTGTGTGTTATTGTAGTTTAAAAATTAGAATAAATTCATTTATTAAGAAATTTTAAGAACTTTATCTATATGTGTAACTGTGTTCTCTAGTTGATTTTGACAAAATTTTAATTTAAAAAAAGTTATAGTTATACTTATAGTTATTTAACAATAGAAGTTCATAATACATTTTAAAATAGATACTACTAACTTACTTCAAAATTAAAATATCGTTAAAAAAAAACATGAGAAAATACAGATAATATTCTTTTATTTAAGTTCTTAGGTCTATTATCTACTAATTAGTAATAAGTATTGTTCATTTAAAGTTTTATTAATATTAATGTAAATTAAAAACGATTCAGTTACAGAAAATAAATTATAGAAAAACAGTGTATTAATTATTCACGATCTTTAGATTGTGAATGTATTAAATATTAGATATACGACTCTAACCGTAGACATATTAGATAAATATTAGAATCATAATAATACCATATTAGTTATTAATTATTACTATATCTTTAAATAATTTTAGAATAATAATATATATTAATACGTCTATAAATTAATTAGAATAAAATAAATAAAATGATGTTTGCTAGTATTTTTTTGCAAAATTAATATGATATTGATTTGTTTTTTAAATTATATTTTGCGATTTGCATAAACATAATATCATTTAAGACATGAATCATATAATATATAATTAGGATCCAAGTCCAAGTTATAAATAGCCTAAACAGGCCAAATCCAAATAGGTAATATATGTTATTAATTTTATCACTGCCTGTATTACAGCCCAATAACCTATGTTTCAATCGTGCAAATATAACACATGATGCTCATAATATGCTATAAATGAAGTCTTATAACATTTATATTAATACCTTCTTCAATGTGCATAACCCATTGCAGACATTGTATAGATTATACTAAAAAGAAGTTAAATGTCCTTAATATACCTGTAGATTAATCTTATACATCCAAAGTCGTATATCTAGAACATAATAAACTGCTATAAATAAACCAAGAACAAGGTATAAGGGGGGACTGATGAATTGCCCCTTTTACTATTACCATTCAATGAAAAACCCTTGTGAATTGTGATGAGGAAAAGTGTGTTTTAGATTTTATATTAAATATTATAACAGTTTTAAGGAGTATACGTCATATTATTTTTAGTTAACTTGATTGCATATTGTATATTTGCATTAACAGGAACAGGAAAATCTCTTACTTTAAACATGGAACATTCGAGTTCTGGCTGTGACACAACGCGTTCGCCATTAGATTTAGCCGGACCGTCGGATGGCGTCAGCGCACCGAACAAGTCAAAGCTAATTTTTGCGAAACGGATTTGTTCCAATACATAAGGGAGCGCCGATTCTTTGATGTTGCGTATCAGCTGTCTGGTGATTAAAAGCACGGCCAATTGCTGCATATGTTAAATTGTATACATTGTTCAAGCGGTCAAGGAAAAAAAAATATTCGGTAAAATAAAATAAAAAAACTTTTTTTACCGTTCTCAGCCTTTCCTGGTCTTGTAAATAAAAAGCGATGTAAAAGAGAGACAGGAACGAGTTGACGAATTGAAACTAAAAAACGATTATTTACACAATAATAGAGTATCATGAGACGTATATCAATTGAAAATATATAAAATATTATTATTTATTACCAAATTATTATTTTAATTATAATAATAGTTTTCTAATAGGTATACGAACCAGTGTAACTTTGATGATCAGTTGATTTTCGTATTCGGTGTCCAGCCTATAGTTTTCTAAATGCAGCATGTTTACAAAAGCAATGAACTCAAATTCAATAGAAACCCAAATGTTTCTTTTAATAACCTTTTTTTATAATGGTTTGTTTAAAAAGTTAAATTTTTAAATTGTATTTATTAAATGTGCAAAAGATAAACGTGGATATTCCATTATGACAGTGTTAAAACGATTTAAAAACAGCTTACCACAATCGTTAAGCCACACGGCAATAATATTGTAAATATCATCAAGCACAGCGATGATAAGTGCTAACATAATTTTAGAAATGTAACTTAAATATGTTGGATATTTATTTGTTTCAATGTATAAGTCCCACCAGTCCTAAAATATTCAAATCACATGTGATTATGGGCTATGGCTTATTGTAATGTAATTGCCACTTAAGAATTAATTAAAATGGAAAACAAATAAATTTACCTGAAATTTGATTTGTAATATTGTTAAAGCAAAGACTACTGCCAAACATAGACTAATGATAGGCGCACTAACAAAATAACTGAACAGCCTTCGTTTCCAATTTGGATACCATAGTTCTGCCTTACCAGTTATTGGACTAATTCGTGGATGACCCTAAAAATGAGTTGAATTATAAAAATAAAATAAAAAAATATTTTAGGATAAAAATTATTGTTAAACTTACTTTAAATTCTAAACGAGGCTGTAACAAAAACTGATGTCTTTGATCAAGTGTAGCCCATCGATAGGCTAATTCAGCACAGTAACGTTTCCATGTTTCCAAGTATACTGTTAGCCAAAGAACATTCATAAAGGCCAATACAACAAACCATACTCCTTCTGTCCATTGATCCAGTTTCCTTCCAAATCCAAACTATTTAATAAGATACATAATTGAATAATATAAACTATTTAATTACATGACTTCTATTGTAATGATATTAATATATATATTTACTATACACATATATATGTATATTTACCCAAAATGTAGAATAGGCAATAGCTGGGTATATTAATGAACCAGTATAGTGTCCAATCCATGCAAAGTACATGGCAATTTTGACACCAAAATAATCACAAACCTTATCCAAAGGCTGCAAGCTAAAAAAAGACTTTACCCAGATAATACGTAACCATTTTAATGTCTTAATTTCATGAACTGGGAATAAATGTTCAATTATTCCATTTGACATACATTCTGAAACTGAAAAAACATAATATAATGTAATTATATAATATATTAAATAAACAAATAAAATATAATATTTAATTTGAAACAAAATAAACAACAAATATAAAGTTACTTAATGGTTGACTTTCGACTAATTCAGTAATCCAATCACAATTCTGTACCCTTAATGTGTTTAAAATATATAAAATTAATGTTTGTCTTTCTTGCATAGTGAAAAAACTTGAATGATCCTCAATTCCTTCAAATATATTCATTTCAGAGAGTATAAATTCTCTTAAGCCACCACCGCCAATAATTTTTTTTGGTAAATGTACATCTTGAGCAGCTTTCATTAGACTGAATAACAACAATGGAATTATGTTTACATATTAATAGATCACTCAAAATAAATACTTTACACATGAAAGGAAGCTGTTAAGTAAAAACAGTAAGACTCAGTTGATGAATGATATTGGACATTCACAGATAAACTGAAGCCATTAGATTCGTCCACTATTAGTGATTTTACCCATTCAATAGTCTTATAGTCTGTAGTTTTGGTGAATGTTAAAACCACATCACAAGCCTACAATTAATAAAATAAATGATAAATGATACTTTTTAAAAATATTTTGTTATAAAGATAAATTAATAGTATACTATAAAGGAGGAAAAATTGATTTTTCTTTATTCAGCATTTACTATACAGAATGCAGCAAAACATTCTTCCTAATTTTGAATACAAATAAAAAATAAAAATGTTGATACTTAAATTTTTTTTTACTTATATTTATTATGAAATATTGGAAATTTTAATTCATAAAGTTTGAAATAAAATTTGAGTAAGTGATGATGCCTTTTATTGTTGACACATTGCTCCAAACAAAATAAAAAGTCTTACACTCTTGCATAACTTTTTCAAGCATTTTTTAAGGTATGTTATGAATTCTGTAATAATTGTTTTTTTAAAAGATTCCAAATTTTTATATAATGTTAATTAACCTGAGATTTAACATAACCCCTAAAAAATAAATCACACAGTGTTAAATTTGGAGAGCACTCACAGTCACCACAAATCTCCTCTAAAACGCCTCGGAAACATTTAATTTAATAATTTTCCACAGTAAATACTGATACAGTAAATTGCTGATTTTTCCACGACATGTTTACAACTGAAACCATTAACCAACTGTAATTTGTATTATAAATTGACTGTCCTACATAAATAGACTCAATCCCACCATTCTATGATTTTAAATAACTGTAATCTGTATATTGCTATACTAAAACTAGGGAGGATATTTTGTCGCACTCTGTATTATGCCAACGTGGTAAGACATGGTAGCTTATCTTAAACATTATAATTTATCATTATATTATGAAATATATTGTAAAGATAGATAGCTATAATGAATATATATTATTTTTTTCTATTAAAAAAAAAAATTATTTATAACATTTTTGGTAATTTTTACATTAATTTTATCTATAGATAATTATAGACTAAATACATTCATTTACTTTAGGAGGAATTGATTGAATCCATAAGTGCCGTGGCGTCATTAAGTGACCAGCTCTTGGTATTTTCCTGCGTATTAATTTTGATGCTGAAAATCAAACTAATTAATTTAAAACCATAATAAATACACTTCATTTTCAACAAATTTCATTTTGCATTACAATTTAGAAAATATATTATTATGTACTTAAATTTCAAGTAAAACATAAATGTATTTAAATACCCATCACTCATAATTATGTAACTTTATCAGTTAATAAAATGCCATTTTAAAACGTCATTCTTTTTTAATTCTTTATTAATCACGTAGGATACAGCTTTATTTTGATTAAGAGGATAATAAAATATAGTTAATTGTTTGTAATAGGTTTCGAAGATTACATATTTTTCATTAGGGAATAATATTCGAGTTGAATTTGTGGTGAGTATTATAGGGTATATAGTTTTTATTATATTTAATTTTAAAAGGAGTTATGTGTTTTAAGACGTAAGCAATTTACAATTTTAAATACTACAACTTGCTTTAAAATTAAAATATAATAAAAGCCTATGAGATGCCCTAGATAATAATCTCACTTTAAATTTCAAAAGAGGTCAATTCATTCTAATTTTCAAGCTGAAGGAGCTAAACGTGATCTTCTGAGAGTACTATTTGCCATGTTACGCATTTGTAAGACGGAGACAACATATGCGGTACAACGTCCTCTTAATTGTGTATATTTGTTGTGATTATAAGTAATAGATTTTTTTACTATTTTTAGGTATATATTTTATAAACCTTTTTGAGATTTACTTTATACTTAATAATTGTTATTTATTTAAATTTATATTTAATTTGCACCATAAATAATTTAGTAATTATTGTACATCATATTATTGGTATGGCTTTATATTTATAATGTAAATATTAAAGATTAGAGGAACAAATCATTCAAAACTATTAACAATGATGGATGCACAAAATATATTGTACAGAAAACAGACTGACATATTTCTAAATACTGTATCACCATCACCTGAGTTGAATTTGCTATTGTCATAGTTTAAAATAAAACCGGATTATTATTTAATTTACCAAAGCTATTTTTAAAGTATTTAATAAAACAAAAAGCTTTTTTTAAAGGATTTTTGTTAAAGAACCCAAGGTTAATTTAAAAAGACTAATAAAAATATTTGAAGTCTTTACGGTAATATTTTAATCCTTTCTGATTTACAACAAAAAAAAAATGTAATTTAGTCAAAAACTAATGTTTCTATATTCCAAAACTATTATTAAAAATTTTAGACATTTTCTACTTAAGATTTCCTGAAATAGGTAGTAACTAGATAAAATTTATTATATCAAAATATGTCCCCCTCACTTCAATAATAAATTATAAAGATGGATCAGAATTTAATTTCTAGAATGTAATGAGTAATATTAAGAAACAAATTTTAAAACCGATTTTTACCAATAATAAAGATTATTAAGTCAGATAAAGGTGTACCATGTAAACGTTTAACATTTAAGTACCTTTGCGTTACACAATACATAACACACATAATACATGTATGATACACACAATAATCTCTATAATGCTTTATAGTTACTTCAAATCAATCTATTTTTAAAATAAAAATATTTAGAACACCTTATTTTTCCATGGTTAAAAAACTGGTAATAATTTATAGTCTGTCTCAAACAGTAATATTCAATGATTTGCTCACAGTTCACCACAAAATTCTTAATCCTACATCTCCCGTCTCACGTTTAAGCTCAAGAATAAGGTTTATTGGTTGCACGTTTATAAACATTAATTACAATGTTTTAAACGTTTATGTATAAAATGTTTAAAAAAAAACTACAAGTTTAAAACACATTTTACCCCTGGTTTTACCCGTTCTTTATTTAATATTTTTGGAACAACTAATAATTATATTTTAGACAGCTTATGTGATTCACGAATACAGCAATATCTAATTGGATATTTTGGAAAAAAAAAAAAAAAAGACCTTAAACTAATAAATTTAACAATTTTTATATAATATACATTGTAGGTACCTCTATTCAATATTCAATCTCAATAAACAGTTATTACTCATTAGTTAATGTGTAATGCGAAGAACGAGGTAGATTTAAAAATAAAAATACCTACATTGTGATGCACAAAAGTAAAACAATATTAAAATACTCTTCTATAATCAATATGCTTATAAGCACGTTTATCCATATCATATCATCTGAAATCTCATAACTCATAAGTCATGAGCATGGCACACGTAAACACGGCTAAGGATGTTACCGTACCTATACTACTAATTTATTAATATTGTATCTTAAACCATTTTTGAGTCAAGAAGTATCTAAAATAGTGAAATTACCAAATTATAGTAATATGACAGAATGCCATTATTTAATAAATAGTTACTAATTATTAATTAGTATTTAAACGATTTTTAATCATTTTCTGCGCTACAAACAATATTAATTATTAACGGAAGAATGACTATTGAGTATTGAGTAATGTATTATGTATATGGGACAATATTATAAATGTAAAGTAGAGCATTGTGCCTTAGATAAAGTACAGATGTTTGTCAACCTGATACGTTCTCAAATCATAGAACGGTGATAAGTGATAACAGTGAACATTATCATGAATCATTTAATAATTATCAATTTTTGCACAATATAAGGCAAATAGAAATGAGTCATGCGCCTCGGTCAAACGATACTATAGTAGAATCTATATAGTTTGATTGCTATTGTGAAGACTGAAGTTTCAAGTTCACAAATTTCAATACTATGACCTAGTACAACTTAAACAAGTGAAAATATTATTTCCTAATTTAACATTACTAGAACCACTAAATAGGTTTATTTTTTTTAGTACAAATACTTGGTGAGTACTAATTTTTATTACAATTTATTTTATTTTTAAGTTAAGTGTGGGACTCAAACTCAATTTTCTCAAATTTTTCTTCATTTTTTTTTAATTTTATGTCTTACTTGAAAATATTCTTATAAATATATTATATGTATTATCTTGGGTCAAAGAAGTAAATCAACATAGAACAGTTCCTTAATAATTATAAATAAATAAAAGTTAATTTAAAATACTTACAAGTGTGTATATAAAATTATTTTTATTAATATAAATAATATTATGTAATCTTTAAAAATAAATCAAAGAAATAGGTGTTTGATTAACCAATATCAAGGACAGGGACGTTCTAGTACTTACACTGTATATGGGCCATGGGCGTGTATAATTATTATAAGTGAAACATAGGCTACAAACTTTGTTAGTTCCCATATTTTATTTTTTACTTATTTTATTTATAATCTCACATCAATCACATTATGCTTTTTTCATCTTCCTATCAAAATTTAAATGTTAGTCCATGGTTAAAACTAATCAACTAATTCAATTTCTAATTGAACCATCAATTATAATCATTTCAATAATATTTATTTATTACAATAGTAAATTACAAGAAAAAAAATGTATATATTATAAGTTATAACAAATATCTCTTGACAATTAAATATGTTGATTTATTTATTTTTTATTTTTTCTATAACAAAGCATTTTTGACTACTAGGCACCAAGAAATTTGATAAGTATCCTACCCTAACACATACTAGAACCATCATTTTTATTAAGGTAATATAAAATTGAAGGTGTTATGATTCAAAAGTTATGGAAGAAATACTATTTATATATGAAGTGAAAAAAAATGAAGTTGAATAAGTTATGAAAAATTGTTGATTTAGTAAATTTAGTAAAACTTCTCAAAATTATGTTTTGTTTCATCAAGATAAAATTTTTTTTATTAAAATACCTTTATTTACAAAATGAAAAGAATTATAAAATTCTCAAAACAGTTTTTAATAATTAATGTCATTAATTTTTAGATACAAATAATATGACTTATTATAATTTATAGAAGGCACTACATAAAAAAAAAAACCATGAAAGGTTACTTAAAATAACTAACTTAGTTATAAATTTAGTAACTATTCAGTGATTATTTAACATTTATACATTTTATATTAATTTAATTTATATTTCAGTAAATTTTAAGTTTGAATATTTAAAACTATGGAGGAAGACAATTCTTTTTCTAGCAGATTCACCAAAAAGTCTCAACAAATGCCCTTATATCCTGTTGGTATGTAAAATTTAAAAATGTGTTATACTTTCAAGTTTATATTATTTGCATTTTTTTTAAATTTAGGAATATTGGGATTTGGATTAGTAGCAGCCTATGGACTTTATAAATTTAAGTCTCGCCAGGGGCGTACATCTTTGTACCTTATTCAATTAAGGTTAGCAGCTCAAGGAACAGCTGTAGGAATCATTGGAATAGGTGTCCTATATAATATCATTAATGAAGCAATGTCAAAAAAAAGCTAAATTTAAACATATGATTTGTTAGTAAAATGTTTTATGTATTAAATAGAATCATCATTGTTTAATAATAATGAATCATTATTATTTATTAATAATTATTTAATTTTTTTATGAATGTATTGTTAAATAAGTGTGAACTAAAGTATAATGTACACTCATTTTATGTTTTTTAGTTTACTGATTAAAAATAGTATTAGCTATTTTTATCTTATTTTTTATAAGACTTATTAAGTATTTAATAATTTAAAAATTAAATGTATATCTACAGGTGTTAATATGCTACTAGAAATATTGTTGACAATATTGTATATTTGAATCAAAAAAAGGAATATCCATAAAAATTATTAAAAATTATGACTTGAGTGGACAGGATAACATAAAATAGTTTTTATTTTAGATTTGATTAACTTAATTAAAATTGTTTCCAATTGAAATAAAATAGTGACTGTCATTTTAAATGGATTGGCTAAAATTGTATCATTGGCTAGTTTATTAGGAAAAAGTATCACTATAAGTTATATTTTATAACTATACAACAAATAGTGGCATAACTATTGAGTTGGGGTGGTTAGGTTATCATTTTCAAAATATTTTTTTGATATTCATAATTTTTGAGATATTCTATGATTAAATTTGAGTTATTATACCTGTATAATATTGTATGTTATTTCAATTTTTATATGCTAAAACAACTGAAATAAAAAGTGGATGCTATACCATCTACAGCCATGGAGTAAGAATATTACTAATGACTCATCGACTAAAAAAATATAATAATTATGTGGTCTTCACAGGAGATTTTTTCATCTACATGACAAAAGTGTGTAACGTAACAAATTTGTATTCTATGACACTTAAACTTAGTTATTTTTATTATAAGGAACATATTGTTTTTCTAATAAATTTATTTTTGATATTTTAATCTTGAAGTGATTTATTAAAATTAATAAATAATTTTTATTTTTTATAAACTTTACTATCTTTTAAGTAAAAATATTCAAAAAAATTCTTCAAGAAAACCAAAATAAAGTATAAATAAATCTCTAAATTGTATAGATCAATTAACTAATGTTAAAATTAAAACTAACTTAATTAGACATGAAGTACAGAATGTAAATTTGTTGATATATATTTAAGACAGAGACAACAAATGTGAGTATAGCAAACCTTGGAAAAATATTTAAAAAATTGACAAAGTAGGTAACCATTTAAGTCTACTGTAACAGTACAAATGTATCTCATTATTGAATAGGTACTGTAACGGATAATAGATTTGAATTGACTAATAAATAATTGCTATTTTTGATGAAAAAAACAATACTGAATGATAACGCTAACTTTTTAGTAATTAAAATAGTTTTTCCCTATTATTTAAAAAAATAAAGAATTTCCAATTTGCTACAGTCTTTCATGAAGTTAATAATTAGAATATTTTTTTGGTAATAAAAGTGATTTCAAGCAAAAAAAAAACTTTGTACAATTAATACATTAATTCCTTTGCTCAGAATTTAAAAGGAGCACATTTTTAGATTTAATTTAAAATTAAACATGTTTTGGTAATTTTTAAGGATTTTTAGTGAATAAGTCCCAAACCCTACTAATGTTATTTTGTTTATAAATAGTGTAGAGCAATAGTAATATTAAAAAAATTATTCTGGCCACAATAGTTAATAATATTTTTAGTTTCAACTATGTTTTTTTTAACTCACTTAACCTAAATTAATGTTATTTAATTATGTTAAATTGATGTTACCTATACCTGACGATTGACTGAACGTATCTAATATCAATGAAGATGATTCAACAAGATTTGACTTGGATGATTTTTCTAAAAAAATATAAACAGTAAAATTATTGTTTTAAAGAATATTATGTTTAACATTTAACCATATCACCTATCAACTTTGAAGCAGTTGATGGAATTGAACTATTAGAGCATATTAATGAATCACTAGGACCTGTTTCTGATTGTGTTGTCAATAATTCAAAAGATTTCAGTTCATTGTCTGTCTTGTTTGGTTCTATTAAAACAAAGTAAACTATTAGTTTAGTTTATAAATTTATATTAATTAAGCAATCTCAATTTATAAGATAATATATTATTAATTAATTAAAGCACTTACTGTATTCGTGATTAGTAATTGGAATCTTTGAATTTTTCTTACAAATATTATGCAAACTTATAGTTGTTTTTGGCATTTTATTTACATTGCTCATTATTATTTCTTATGTAATTAAATTTTAAATTTAAACAATTGTCGGCAACTGTAGTAGTTCACTAAAAAAGTCGGTATTAAACTATTAAACTAAAATCAACTCAGTAAATGATAACATTGATAACTGATAACAACAATAATTACTATCGCTGCTATCTCCGTGAACCAACTGAACCACGATTCATCACAGAGTCCTGTGTCGCAGTAGAACGCTGTATTTTTTCATTGTTTAATACTATAATATTTAATGTATACCAATCTATAAGAAAATCTGTGCGATTTGAGATTTTCAGATTTATTCACGTTATTACCCCAACACTATATGCACATCATGTAAGATAATCGGCAGTATTTTCACTCTACAGCTTTTAATTTTTAAAATAATATATAACTTACAGAGTATTAAGCTATTCTTATTACTCTGTGATATATTTATTAACATATTAATTTTTACTATTTAGTATAATATTTTTAAACCGTAATAGATACAAATTAAGCAAGTGAAATTGATATTTAAAATTTACTCACAGATATCTGTGGACGTACAACATGTCATTCAGAAACAAGTTATAATATTATCTAAATATTATCTTAATTTATGATCAGTGACGATCAAAGTATCAGACTGTTAAACATTCAAATTATATTTAATTAGTTATATACACTGAACTTTTTGGTAATAAAGCTATTTAATGTGTTTGAATTTTACATTTTTTCTTTGTTGAAGGTTGAAGTCTGAAACTAAAAAAATTGAATTATGGACACTTCCTCGAGTATTTTTTTTACTTTAGATTGCAGTGTTTTAACTTTATAACTCTTCAATTAATACATATTTAAAATATTTGTCCATATATCCTATTTATCTACTTAAACTGTCTTCAAAGAATTAGCCCAATTATAAATAAGTTTAAAAATTATTCCTTACACACAATTTGTCATTAGCACCCACCAACCTATTCAATTAACCAAATATATTGTAAGATACATTTTTTCTCAGATCTAGCTAACTTCAAAACGAAATATTTTTTTTTAATTTTTAAAATTGTATTTTACTAGAAAAATGGTGCCACTTCTGTATTCCTATTTTTGCATTTTACCTACATTGACAGCAGAAATACATGTACATTTTCTGTTTTTTTTTTTTTTACAATTCTCAATTTAACATGTAATAAACCTTTTAATAATACACTGATCTTTTCTGTACTATACAAACATTAAGTGTTAATGATACGTCAATAATAATACTTGCATATTATTAATAGATAATAATTTATTTTTAATTAAGTTACTGTTTAGACTTACTTTTTGGATTGAATTAGGTCTTGAATAATGGTTTTGGTATTATAAAATTCACAGGTTTTCCAAAATTAGATTATGCAAATACAAAATGGATTAGTTGGAAGTTTGATTTATGTTAAAAGGGTTTTAAAATCATTTCATGTTGCTGTAGTAAATTCTGTGTTCAATAACTTCTTGCAAGAAGGCTAAAATTAAATTTTTATATCACAGAATATATTATTAGAGATATTATTATACTATAATAAAATAAATATTAACAATCAGAAATAAAAAACAAATTTAAAAAGAGCACAAAATAATATAGTGTATTAATATATAGTATACACTATGTTAATCATATGAGCATTTATACAATTTAATAAATGACAATGAAATATTTTTAACAAATGAATGCTAATATAATACAAACAATATAAAAATTATTAATATTTTAGTAATACTATTCAGTGTTTTTATTTTTCTTAAATATATAACGGTTTTTTAGAAAATCTTGATCTTTGGTTAATATATATAATTATATTAAATTAAAATTTATAAATATAAATTAGATATTAAGCAGTTAATTAAATAGTATCAATTGATTCATGAAACTGCCCATTCTTTAATCCGATCACCTATTGCCTTCATTGACTGAAGAGTTTTTGATTTACGTTTAATTTTATTGAGCTCGCTAGAAAATTCATCACATCTACACTCAAATACGTCTTTTTTGTCAATATTGCTATGCATTTTATTATTTAGAAATGTTGTGAACATAGCTGTTTCTGTAAACCATTCCAAAAAATTTCTATGTGCAGTATTAATACCAGCATCAATGAAAAATTGTTTCTGAAACATAATTAGATATATATTACACTTTAACGGAAAGTAACAAGTTTTTTTTTCTGTATTAAATTTATATTATATATAATTTAAATAATAAAAAAATATATTGATTTAAGTTAATTGAAAATTGTAATGAACTAGACCATTTTTTAATGATTAAAAAATATGATTCAAGAGTATACAAATTAAAAACGTATTATTTACTGTATAATTTACATATGAACTAAGTGTAGATAATACCTTTTTTATTTTAAGAAAAATAATTAAATTTATTACAAAATATGAAATTATAACCATAATTGTTTATCTATTATCAATAACTATTAACAATAACAACATTAATAACTGTTATTATTTTAATTCCTATGTTTTGTATTATAACACAAGATATTATGTTTACAATATTTACATAGTTTCTTTCAGAAAAAACTTATCAGAATATGTATACTAAAAAGTAAAAATAGAAAAATATTTTATCAATAATACCTGAAAATGATTTTTATTTTCTGAATTTGGTAGAATAAAAGATTTATAATGACCAACTAGTTCCACAAACAATCTTATAAGAGACTCTGATGCTAGAACTGCCTTAGTTGATTGGTCTAACTCCACCTTTAACCCAATAACATTTTTCAAACCTTTTGCAATTCTTGATGGTAGGACACTATATTCATCTTTTACTTTACGCAATGTTTTGTTAGCATCCAAATCAAAAATGAAAACCTAATTAAATAACATAATTATTTTAATTACTCATAAAAAGTTAATATATAAGTATAGTATTTACTTGATCATTCTCACTCAATTGAGAGAAAATATCTGATTGATTTTCTGTTTTCAACAAACCAATGATATATGGCGTTGGAGCTTGAACAAAATCAGCAACAGATACCATTTGAGAAGGAAGAACTGATACAAGAGTATGTTGCCAAGAAAATGGATATAAGGAAGATGTAAGAGCTTCAATACTACTTGATAATAAACTATAAAAAAAAGGATTAAAATTGAATTTTACTATACTTTAATTTATATAATAAATACAACTACCTATTTATATTATTAACAAGTGATCTAAAACAATACAAATCTAAATTTTATAGTTTAAAGATTACGAGTAAATATTTTATTAAATATAAAAGATGTTCAAAGAGTGTGTAATTAATAAATGATTCATCAATATTCAAACACATAAAATATTTATATTTTTTTTTTCTAAATTAAACAGTATGAAATTTCAAAATAATCATAGTCAAATATTTTAAAATTCTTCTTTAACATATTAAAATTATTTGATATATTTAATTACCTTATAGATTTGCTGAGAAGAATTAATTTTCTTTCTAATAACATTGTAGCTAACATTTGTATAAATGTATTTGGTTTAATAATGTGTAAAAGTTTTAGTAGATCATCTTGATCACGTTGAATATCAAATGGTATAAGAAGTTCTCCATTATTAGAACTAGAAAATAGAATTTCAATATTAAAAATAAATAAATATATATACAAGACTCTTATAAAAATAGATTTACAGATTAACAGATAAAAATTAATAATAATAATAATATAAGAGTAGTTTTATAAAAAAAACAAAATTAAGACCTTTTATATAAGTTTAGATATAATGATCACTTAAATCAAACTAAGTGATCATATTTTAAATTTAAATCAATATATATTTTTTAAATATTCATTCATATCCATGGAATTTAGAATAAGTAGTTTTAAATACAGAAAATAAAATAAATACCTGAATGAAGAAATTATTAAAACAATTGTGGATTCTGTATAAGATTCTATACATCTAACGACTTAATGAGTTTTTTTAAGATTAACTACCAATTAGATAATACATCAAATATTTTAAAGTAAAATATTAATATTTTAAGCCAACTATTATCTATTATATAAATTATAATTCATAAATAGAGATAATAGTTTAAAATTTAAAAATTTATAGTGAATTCTAAAAAAAATTAAAAAATAAGAAAAATACAGTTTGTATCTAACATTCGATACTAATAACAAAATGTTAACAATTGAAGTGTTCAAGTTATATTGAACATTTCAAGACATGAAACTATCTTGTTCATCTTAAAAAATAAAATAATTTTTCTTAAATGTTTATTAACTTACTGCTCAGTACTGTAATTTGCAGGTTCAAGAGGAATATAAATTGTAGAACCGAGTTCTGGAAATGGCTGGTCATATAGTAATTTTATAAACATTTTCATATTGAATTCAGATAAACCATGTCTTGATTCAATTTCTTGTAATATCTTTAAAATACATTTTAATTAATAAATTTTTATGTTTCTTTAAGTTGGATATTATTTAAAATTAAAAATTTGAATAATTTAACTAAAAATATACAGTGAAAATATTAAATATATACCTTAAAATAAAAACTGTTGGCTTTAATTGAAGAATATATACAATACACCAATGGTAAACAATAGGCAGCTCCTTCAGGCTGTACTCTATAACAGTACCCATAATTACGACGACCATTTTCATCAGTAACAGTTAATGAATATGTTCTACAATCATCCGCAGTAAATGGCCAAACGTGTGCGTCAGGAAAACATAAATTCTCAAATTGTTTTGGAATTTCAGCCTAAAGATATAATGATCATGCATTTGTTAAAAAATTCTTAAACAATTTAGTCTATTTAAACACAATAATTACTTGTACAGGATATTTATGTTTTATATAAGGTAATTTTTCTTTGGTTGAACTTAAATCTAGTCCAATTAATAGAAGTGCTTGAAATAGATGATTTTTATCATGAATAATAGTTGAACATGTTGATGTTGCTACTTTTTTAGCTACTCTACGTAAATACCCTTTACGCTCTAAAGTTTGTTCACTTATATTCTTATCTAAAAAAAAAAAAATAAATATGTATATATAATAGAATTAAAATTATGTAGATATTTGTACACTTTTATTTTTCTATGCGTATTTAATCAAAACTTCAATTATAAAATATTGAAAATTGAGAATTTAATTTAAATTTCTTTTAATGAAATATAATAAATTTTAAGGATGAAGTATATTCTTATTGGTTTAATGAAATGTTTAATAAACAAAGTTATTGCCAATACGGTAGCTTTACATTTAAAAGAAATTGTAATTATGAAGATCATTCTACTCAGGATTAAAGTGAAATACTTTTTTCTAATGTTACAATATATTCTAAATGGTTAAATGATAAAATTCATAGATGTTATAAACATATATTAATTGTTACATAAGGTATATTTGTTGTCAAAGTAAAGTTAAAAATATTGCATTTTAACATTCTAAAGTAATTTAAAAATTATTAATTTTTAATGGATTTGGATAGTTTATTTTTAGCTAAAAAGCAAAGTACATTTATTAGGATATACAAGGCTATTCAAAATGCATCATTCGATACTTTGCATCTGGTTTCCTGGGTTACCTGATTTTACGCCATGCGACTTCGTATTTTTGGAATATGTTAAAGATACTGTATATTTACTATTATATCATCAACTTAAAAAGAACTAAAAATTAGAACAATCATTTTATAATGGATATGTATGGAATGAATTAGAGTTCTGACTAGTTGTTGTTTGTGTGATCAAAGGAAGCCACTGAGAATATTTATTGTTACCATTACATAAATTTGAAATATTATTTTTTTTTATTTAATGTATCACATTTACACTAAACCTAAAAACTAAAAACATATAATAATTTGGAATTAGATGAATCATTTTGAATAATCCTGTACAACAACACTTTTAAATATTTAAATTAAATTTGTGATATAATTAAAATAAAATTTTTAATTTAAAATTGACCTTATAATCACAATGCAATATCTAAGTATTAAAAATATTAATAAATATAAAATTTGCAATTTCATTTAGTAGACTTTGAAATTGATTTTTGATAAAATAGATATTGTAATAAGAATTTTGATTTTTAATCAAACATAATTTCAGTGTAAGATTGTTAAAAATTATTTTGTACATACAAATCTAAGACAAAAACTTTAGGTGATATTGGAATTGTTCACAAATAAATTCCTTGTTAGTATATTAAGTTATATAAGCTAAATAATTATAATTTATAATTGGATCAATAATACTTAGTTAAGCAGTTTTATAAGACATTAATGTAATCTATTAGTCCTTTCGGCAGCTTATTACGTGACTAATAATAGGTGCCCAATAAAAATAAAATGAAGTAGATAGATACCTACATTAAACAATAAACATTATTATAATCACATGTCTAATAAATTGAAGATGAATGCATTCATTATTGTTAACTTATATAATTATTAAGGACTCATTTTATTATTTATCTTACAAATTAGTTCTATAGAAATGTATATATCTATAAAGGAATAAAAATAATTATAAAGGTATTTATTTACCCGTTAGATTATTTATTGAACCACTAGAACTGTTTTCACAATTAGAAATTGACTCTGAGTCACTTTCATCTTGAGTTTTAACAAATGTACCGTAAGCTTCATTCATTAACATTTGAATCTTAGAAAAGTAAACAATATTGTTAGTTAATTAAATTAAAAATTAACTAGGTGTACATTATATAAAAACTAATATTAAACAATACTTTTCTCTTATGACTCATAGTCATATTTTTATTTGTTTTTGAATCAATTCCATCTGTAGTATCGATTTGAAAATATGGTTCAGATTCTTTCAAATTAATTTCAGAATTGTAATCTTTAATTGGTGTGGACTACAGATCAACATAAAAATATAGATTAAATATTATTTATAGGTATGATAAATGTTTTAGTAGTGAATAAATAAAAAAATCAAATAGACAATTATTATTTTAATTATTATTCAGAACTTACCATATAATGTAGATTGGATTTATCAGAATCACAAACCCGATCATTACTAAGCGTATTACAATTATGAACACTATCAATGTTTAGCCTTGAATTAGGCTTTAGGAATATTGGTTCATCATATATATGTTCTGTATCATTTTCATTATATGATTTTCTAGTTAAATAATTCTGTTCATCTGTATGATGTATTTTTAATGAATTACCATACACTTTATCATTTTCCAAACAATTTAAAGACTTTGCTAAATTGAATAAATTAGATTTCTTAGAACTTATATTTGAATTACAATCTTGTCCAGTAGTATTTTCATTTTTTGGTCCATATGTATGAGAATTTTTAGTTATAAACATTTCTAGCTTTTCCAACATAGCTTTTGGATCAGACTTGGAAATTTGATGAGATTCCATTGTATAATTATTAGGAAGATCTAAATCTAATTGTTTATCATGAGCAAATGTTCTTGGTGGCTTTTTAGGAGGCGGACCAATCGGTAAATGTGCTTTTAGAGGAAGTTCAATATTTTTTTTTAGTACTTTTTGTTTACAACTAGTAGTATTATTATTTTCTAGTTTCTTTTTCAAACAATTTATAAGAGATTTTTGGTCAGTTACAAGTTTATTTTTATCATCATTTGCAAATGTGTCTAGGTATAGTTTTTGATTTAAACTGTCAGTCTTATTATAACCATGAGAATCAGTAGGTGTGATTTTTTTACACTCATTAGTGCTTGAAATAATTATATTACTAAATTGTTTCACATTGTTAGTTACCACCACGGCTTGTGAATGATCCACTACTAGTTTTCTCGAAATATTTACATCCCGTCTGAACGCGGGAGTTCTTTTAATAATTCTTTTGTTCGCATTATTTTCGTGTCGTCTCTTGTCATCCAGTCCGGGTTTCTTAGAACTTTGAAAAGATTCGAATCGTTTTGTCAATACGTCTACATTAACTACGTTCGTTTCATTCATAATTTTAATAATATCATTGGTGAAAATGTCACATCTTATTACAAATCAAGTTACAAAAAAAAAAACTAAAATATTTCACTGAAAAAAATTAAAAACAATTACATATTTATATTTTATTATTATTTCACGGATAATTATTATAAATAGCTATAAACCACGTACGCCGAATACTCAATGCACACGAGTGAACTGAACTCTGTCAACTCTCAACGCGATGCCTAATCTATACCAATAATAACTAATTATGAAACGCGCAACGTTTTTAATAAACACCGCATGATAATAATTATTAATTAATAACAATTATCAACGCGACATCATTAGATATATAAAAATAAAATGAACAAGTTTTTATGATATAAAATATTTATTTATACACTATCAAAGTATCAAATATTCGGTACTATATATTATTATTATTCGTTGTTCACATGAACGGCGCATTGTACTATTGTTGTTACCGCTCATCCTAAATTATGGTCTTTTAGGTTGTTACCATTTTAATATCCGAGTAGAACCGGTTAATGAAAAGAGACGACTGCATTACGATTTACAACTTACATCAGCTGCTGCTGGCCGTATGTTAATTTTATTCAATGATATGATCTGAAATTTGTCAGAATGTTATCAATCCCCAATAACTTATTTATCAAAGCGTATGAGTTGGGGCTTATCTTCAATATTGTACAATAGTTTTATTACCGAATAATTGTTATAATATCGTATCACATAAATTCTATTACACCGACAAAAACTATGAATAAACAACTCTGGAGTACGAATGTACGATATATTAAACAATTTGTTTTTTTATGTGACTGACCTGGAGTATTACGATTACACAGGATCTTATAGGTCACTAGACCAGTTCCTGTTTACTGTTTAGACAACCGGTAATGTTTAGGATAGTTGTGGAGGACATTTGATGAATGTCTTTTAGTTGGTTATAAATTTTTTTGTAATGATTTATTATTAGTTCTCTCACAGTTGGTAGTTGGAGCTTGGAGGTCATTATGAAGATTTTAGGACTATAATAAAATCCAAAAATAATTTTTATTTTTTTGGTTTAGCACTTGTTTGATATTTTTTTTCTTTTTCTTTACTTATTAGTTATTACTTTATTTTACTCCATTACTTGTAAAAAAATACAGTTATTATTAAAAACATCAATACATATTTTCATAAAATAATTAAAATGTATTCAGAGAATCCAAATTTTCACGGGTTAGCGCGGGAATCGCCCATCTGCCACCCAATCCCGCTCATGGGTGTGACCATGACATCATGTCAATCTTTTATCTAAAGTTATGCCTAGATAATTATGTACTTCGTCGCTGACTGAATAGAAATAGATGTACCGTTTATTTTTAGTATAAGAAGACATTCGTAACATTGTAATGTGAAATTTGCTTGTACCGATTTTACCTCATTGATTTTTATCTTTCAGTTATTGACCTAGGTAATTATGAGACGTGTGATTATACATATTCAGTCTCAGTTACTACATCTACATCAGAATAAATCATCTAAAACTAAATCTACGAAACGTTTTTGTCCATATATCAGTATTAATGTGAAACGATGTTATTACAATAGTCAAATTATTGTACAATATTGAAAAAATGAAAACTGAAATACAAGTTTACACGCATGTGATTTGATAAATAATCAGAAGGATTGATAACATACTAACAAATCTCACATAGTATTATTACTCTATGGTAATATCCGAGACCATTATACATAAATACATTTATTTTTACAGATAATAGATTTTTATCATACAGACCTCTATAAATGTATTGACCACCTGTTCTAGGTTCTTTTCCATACTTTATTACATTTTGTTTTCCCGAATAATTTCTTTTATTCCATGTTTCAATTATTAACAATTGTCATTAGTATTGTTTTTAATAATAATCACTAATCAATCAGTAGTTCACAATTTATGATATGTCTATAGTATAGTTAAATCCTCACTACCACTACAATATACCTATGCACTGTGTACATATATCACACATTCTAATTAACATTTTTATTTAAAAAAAAAATTCATGTTATCTGTAGGTTTGATAATAAACTACAGAATTACAATTTTTTTTTAATTTTAAATTACTAAGTTAACAAAAAATATGATGCCTAGAGGAAAAAATGGTTATTCCTGGGAATTGAACTCAGGAACTCAAGATAGTGAGGTAAGTTTAATTTCAAAAAAACTCAAATTATTTTAAAGTCAGTTGATCAAACAGTAAAGATTGATATTAATACCTTTGGATTAAAGACAACTTATTAAAGTTTATGCCACTTTACAAGTAATAAAATTAAAATATAATAAGTAATTATTTTTAAATGTTAATAGTTTTATTCGTCAACATTTATTACTTTAATTTTACATTTGAACAACATTATCTACTAAGTTTTCTTATACTATCCAAGAGTATAATTAATTTCCTCAGAAATGTTTAAGTAATAAATTACCTTACAATTATAGCAATATGACATATAATTAAAATTTAATTAAATTAAGTTTAAAAATTTAAATTATTTACTTTTATAATATCATGTAGTTAAAATGGGTGCTTATCAAATTTAAAATAATCTATTTAGCATCTTTTTTTATAAAAATAAAGCAGTTTTTAATGTACATATCACTTCTTTGGATTGTATTATTTGGAAATATATTTTTATTATAATAGCCATTACTAGAAAGAGATACTGAAGATCCGGATGATGTATTATTTACATCCCGTCCAGGCACATCAACATTTGTAGCTGATATGCTGAGTTCACATTCTCATAAGATGAATAATCAACACAATCAACTTGACCTCATATCTAATTCAGTAAAAACTTTGAAAAATGTTTCAGAAGATATAAGTGTCGAGTTAGATCATCAAAATGTGTAAGTAGATTTTAAATTATAAATTTTTAAATTTTTCAGTAAACTAAATTTCAACTTAAAAAATAATTTAAATTAATCACTCTTTCATTTAAGTCATAAACTATTGTTTTAATATTGTGTTATATTTTGATAAAAACAAAATATTCTTTAATTAATTATATTATAAATACATTTTTTTTTTTTTTTTAGAATGCTTGAAAATTTAAGCACTGAATTAGACAAAACAGAATCAAGATTAGACATGGTATCAAAAAAGGTGGCACAAGTTCTACAATTGTCTGATGGTAATTTTAATAGGATCATTATAAATTATTACAATGAATGTTTTTTAATTTTTACTTTTAAAATTAAAAAAAATTATACATCTTTAAATCTTAAGAAGAAAACCCATGGTGTGCGGTTCATGACATAGTATGACTTGGTATGGGAATAGGTATATTTTGATATCTTACCAATAAAGTTATCTTTTTAGGATAAACCTAAAGTACTATAGCATAGTCAAGGCAATAATTTTGATAATATTGTGGTGAGCCTAACCAAGCAATACTAATTTGCAAATCATATGTTTTGAGAATGTACAAAGTTGACTTATTAAAATTCTCAGTACAGTTCCAAATCTAAGTGTAACAAAAATAATTGACAAATTGAATTGACGTGCCGTGTAAACATTTTTTTTCTATTACTTTTTACTTTTTTTTAATTAATAATTAAATTAGAAAAAATGTTATTTTATTGTTAAACAATTACATTTTTCAGTTATTTCTATTCTACTGTGCATAATATTAATAATGTATTTTTATTTTAGACAGAAGACAATGGATGGCAATTGGAATTTTAGTTGGTATTATTTTAATAACCATCATTCTTTTAATTATTTTATAAATTATGTTCAAACATTATATTTGGTAAAAAAAGACTGATTTTATTTATTTAATATTTGTATAATATTTAATTTTCACATAAAATATTAATATATTTAACATATTATAACTGTTACATATGTGCCTACATTTAAATAATCAATAATCTAGTCTAAATTATATTATCACTTAATTTATTGTTTTTCTGAATATATTTTATTTTATATTCTTTAAGTTAGATTGTAATATTATTTTCAATAAAATAAAATGTTATTATTGATGAAATTATATGAATTATAAAATTCTCTATTGTTCAGCAGTTTGTATAATTTTTCTCTAAGATTTATTATTCTTCATTATATTTGTAATAAATATTTTGATGTACTATTTAATTTTACCTTTGTATTTATTTTATAATTTTTCTACTGGAGTGTTCAACTATTTAAATCTGTTGTACCTTTCATTTCCCCTATTTGTTACGTGGTACTCTATTCACACGTGGAATTTATTCTTGATAAATTTCTAAATTGCATGAACAAACCAAGATGTTATTTCCAAATATTAATTCACATATAAATCTTATTTTAATATTTTTTCCAATAAAATCATGGAAATTTAAATTATTTTAAACGCAAATTCAAGTACCTAATATATTTAAAAGGTATTTTAAAATACATAACTTTTAATTAATTTAAATCATACATTCACTTAATAACTAACATTTTGTTTTTTAGTATAAGTTACCTGATAAATATATTATAACACATTATAATGATAAAAAAAAAATCTTAATACAAGAATTTCATCGTTTTTGATAAGGTTAATCTGGTATAAATATGCATAAGTCAAAATACAGTCAACATTAAATTGATAACAATTATTTAAAAAAATTAATTTTAAATTAGACAATTTATAATATATTAGTATTATTGATCAACACTATAATAATGATTGAAATTACATGAATATGGATCAGCATATTGAGAAAAATGATGTTCTCTATAATACACAATGTACTGAGGATAAAATTCGTAATCATTAAATTTTACATAAACCATACCATTTGTTGATTTAGCAGTGTCAAAAACATTAGGTATAACATTCAAATTATAATTGACGCTAACATCTTTGATTCTTTGAACTAAAACTCGACAAATTATAAATGCTCGCTCAATTGAAATTTCTTAAAAAAAAAAAAAAAATATTAATAAATTAATATATACATCAGAATGATTTAAAAATTATAATATCATAATATTTTTAAATGCTTTACGAAAAAAATAAAATAATAATTAACTTACTACTATCATGTCTGGATGGAAAAAAAGGTTCAGCAAAATTATTGTCTGTAATATGGTCCATAAGCCATTTGGTTGCAGATCCTAAACCTTGGTTATTAGTATAAAATAATGCTCGTTTGACAGCTTCCCTTGGAAAACCCATATTAACAAGAATATTCATGATATTTTCATCGTAATCTACTGTAGACATTGATCCTAGTTAAATATTAAATAAATTTTAATGAGAGCAAAAAATTTGATTTAATACAATTAAATAAAGTTTAACAATTATTTACCTTGAGCACATGATGCATATCTGTTGGCATATAAAGGACAATATGAAAAGCATACACCTTTCCCATATCGACAACGACTTGTAAAACGCCAGTCTAAATTATTTTCAGCAATTGATTGAACATTTTTGGTGGCTGTAACGTGATATAAAAGCCATTCATTTACTGTTATATTTTTATTATTTATTTCCATTTCATTTTTTCTTAGTGTGTATAAGCCCCAGAGCAGTGGATTTTGTACTTTATGAACACTTATAACCTAAAATGATTTCAATTGATTCATAAAAATACATCATTAATATACGATTAATAAATTTCCATAAAAACTTACATCAAAAAGATCATATAAATGTCTTATTTCTTCAACTTCATACAATTCTGAATTAACTACTGGTTCAATAGAATAATCATTCATGATGAGCTATAATTAATATTGTTAACACAAAAACCAAAATTTAATTGTAATAATATTAATTTAATAAATGTATGAATAAAATAATCAAATATTAAATCAATATTTTTTGTTTTAAAAACTTGTTAGATATTTAAATTATTGTTATATAAAAGTATGTTGGTTTGTCAACAATAATATGTTTAATTTAAAAATTCTTGAATTGATATAAAAACTTTGGCAATTAGGGACTTAGGGTACCTGCTTTTCACAATAAGACATTTTTACAGATTCAAAACAAAACTTTAACCCCCATATAAAAACTCAATAGTAATCAAAGTAGCTTAATAAATTTGGTAAATACCCATACCTAATATCGTTAAAAAATATTAAACAAATTTAATTTACGTATCTAATACCAAAATAATATTTAAAGATGGAAGCCAGTAAATTGCAATATAATCAATACAGATAACTTGTTTTTTGCTACTTACTAGTATATATTATATTATTATATAATAGAAAACCGTGTTATCCGAAAATTGACCAGTGAAATTTGGAAATACTATTTACGACACAAATAATAAATTCTATAAAACACAGAAAAAAATTCCCTGATAACGGCAATTTGAAAATATAGGCCATAGGGTACACTGATCTACACGATATACTATGCAGTATGCAATATGCCTTAAATATTATTATTAACTAATAACTATATAATTTTAATGGCTATATTATTATATTATATTGTATTTTATTATTTTGTTATGGCAGTTATTATAACATGTATATGATATTATTACAGTGATAACGATGGGGATTCCTAAAATAAAAGTTTATTTTTATTTAAAATGACTAAATTTTTATTTAACTATTCGAGCAATCGCTAATCGCACAATCTTCCAAATCGTGATTTAAATAAATGTCCAACCATATAATAATATTATATTCTATAAATAGATGGATAACCATAAGTCACAATATACTATGACGATTTGCATAACTGCACGAGACAATAGTAGGTACAAGAGATAACTGACGAATGACTATATACGATGTCACGAATCAAGATATTCATTCTCTTAGTTGTATGGCGAGGGTCGAAGAAGGGTACTTGGCAAATTATTGATAATAACGTGTTACCTACATAGGTATCTAATTAATTTTTATATAATTTATTCAAGTAATAAAATTTAAAAGTTCAAAAATTGAGATATTTTGTCGTCTTCTCTATCTCATCCAGCGAGAGAACATGCCATGGCCTAATGAAAATCAATTTCGTGCCTCTAAACGACACGCTGACATCCAGGCGTCCAGGCATAGTGAAACATTAGAAAATATATGGTCTTCAAATTACCTGGTGTTTCCATAGTTGATTGCATAGTGATGAGCGGGGTAGATTTAATTGGCTAGTTTTTTCATTGGATAGAATATTTATAATTGGATTCATTTTTTTTCAATTTGATGCACTACAACTGTATCGTCTCAACGCGGCCGATAGAAAAAAGTATAGGCTATAGCTATTTTTAACTTTAAAATTGTATGATGTAGTTTGAAAATGTAGCACGGGCCAGATACAAAAAGGGTTGAAGGCTGGATGCTGTTCACGGGACGCAAGTTGCCACCTTTAGGCCATAGTAATTACTAATTAGTATTACGGAGCCGTCACTCCGTTCCTATCTAGACAAAAGTCTATTGCATGGGTTATAAACGACTCTTTTGGTTTATGTATCAACATTTTATAATTAATTTTAGAAATAGTTCCATTCACCAGTTAGGTATTAATGTGTTCCCAACTCTAAAAACACTTTATCTCGGGGTGATTGTGGTTAAAAATAACGTTTCATCATTTTTTATAACAGATGTATATTATTATTTTTAAATGTTTTTTGATGAAACCCAAGCGGCATATTTCTTTATCTTCATCTGTTAACCGATTAACCTATTTTTCCCAAGACTCCACTGTGAATTGTTCGAATTCTTCACTGTGGAAAATAAGCTTTCATCTTCATCTCTCATACAACTATAATGAGTTAAAAACAGAGTGAATGAGGTGGTTGGAATAAATAATTATTTAAATAAAATTATATTATAAATGCATGATTTAGAATTATAAATATATTTAAGCAAAGTCTAATTTAATATTATAATATAATTGTTTTAATATTTTTAGCTCGTTATATTGTTTAGTAACAATTTTTGGAGAGTGAGAGCTAGGTTTTACTCTTAATAGGTAGGTACTTACCTAATAGTCCTAATATAAAATGAGGTAATTTATGATACTTGCTAAATAATATTTCTTACTTTTTACAGAATTTGTAATTTTTATCAGTTTTTTTACTATCTATCTTAATATGGGTAGATCTGGATTATTTTTGTTTAAAAAATAATTAAAAGGAAAGAGAAGTACCAAGGTATATTTATTTTATATGAAATTTTTAACGAATAAAAAAAATTATTAATATTAACACGAATAACGTAAATCGGATAAAAATAAATACAATGATTGGGCATACTTTGAAACGAGCGACTGAGAGTAGTTTATATTATGTTGTATAGGTTTTTAAATTTTTATATATGTAGGTAGTATCTACCTAATTTTATACCTGATATCAGATCTGAGACTTTGCTGTCTACAAATTTAATCAAATTGAAAATTGAACCATGACTCAATCATATGTGTGTTGAATTTGAATATGTTATAAAGTATCTTAAATTAATGGTTATTTATTATTATGATAATTGGCTTGTTCGATAAATCGTTATGACTAATGTATAAATTATCATACAAGTACACAACTGTACGTCTATACCTATATTAAAAAAATATTAAAAATAATTGAATAATTGGAATAACTAATGCTCATTTAGTACAAAATATGTCTAGTCGTGAATTCTAACTTCCAAATATTCTACATTTTAAAATTGGTAACTTTATTATTTTGAAATAATAAAGTTATTTTTTTTCATTGAATATAAAAATATTTTTGAATGTCATTAAAGTTTGAACAACGCATGCTATAGATTATTTGTCCATTGGATATTTTGACCAATCACACAATTATTTATAGTATACATAGCTAAGTATAGTCTTTTTCCAGTGATTTATGATCATGACGTACTAATGTGGATATACATTTAAGGGTGGTCTTGAAATTTGTCATCCATAAAATCTGACCATCACAGAAATACTCGTACAAAACAATTACCTGTGCGAAAAGGACAGTTGAATATCCCGTTCAAAATCATTTGTATGTCACTGCAGGCAACAGTTATATTATGAAAATTGTACATAATATGTACAAGTAGTGAAACTATGCATTCTGCATAATAAATGATAATTAGAATTTTAGAATGTAAACAATATACATTCAAATTTATATCATAACTTCTAAATGGCACACTAGGACACTCTACATGAACAATATGCTAGTATCACAGTCTTGTTTAATAATATTATTTTTTCTATTGAGTATATGTAATTTTTGTCCATCATAGTATTATATTGGTTTTTGATTTATTGACTTATTTTAATAATTTCATTGAAATTAGTAAGTAAATTGATATTTAATTAACCTGAGAAACACATGTATACATAAAAATAATTGATTAACTGTTAAATACATTTAATTTACATAATAATACAACTAAGAAAAATCTTTTAAAAACACATCATAAATTCTAACCATCATGTCTGCACCACAAGATGCCATTTGTAGAACACCCTCTCTGTATCTAAAATCAGTCTTGCACAGTAATGGTTGAAACTTGATTTTTTTTACTGTTAAATGATGTCCAAATCTATAATTGTGGGTTTTTAAGGAAACAATACAAATTTAAAGCAATATACAAAATTTATAATAAACATTATTGGCATACGGTTTATAGAAAAGGATACTCATTAATTAAATCAGCAATTTTAAGCCAAGGTGTTACAGAGTTTTCTTCATAACTCCATTTATATAAACCAATACTTCCACAATCAGCACCAATAGCCAAAAGATAGGTTTTATTAAATTCACTAATTAATGTTGGAGCAAAGGCCACAGCTGTAAAACTCTTTTCTGATACTATTAAAGGATTTGTTTTGGCATAATAAGTTATTTTACTGTCAACACTTTGATCATTTCGACCCCAAATAACTAATTTTCCATCTCTAGATCCAGTTGCAAAATATGCTGAATCATGAGTCCAGGCACAACACCATATTATTCTTGTATGAATACCAGTGTGTTTATCTGATTTACTTATGGTAATAAATAAGTTTGAGTTTAAATCATACTCAAATAATGACCAAGTACGATCACGTGAAACAGAGAGAAGATTTTTACTGTCTGGTGAAAAAGCTAACTGAGTCACAGTTAAATTATGTGATTTTAACTTTTGTACCTGTTGAAAATTTTCTGTATTCCTGAAAAATAAAAATTTAACTCTAAATTTTTAGAATATTCTAGATTTTTTTCCTAGTCAAATTTTACATATAAATATATTATTATTACATAAATAATTTTATTTTAATTACCATATTATAATAGAAGCTAGTTCTAAAGATGTTGCTTTTGCTGCCGAAGCTAACCATTTATGATTTGATGAAGATGCTAAACAGTAAACTTCATAAACATGACCATAAAGTTTTTGAATTTCAGGCCATAATGTATTTTGAATTAAATCTTCTTCAGTTGGAGGTTCTAATTTATATTAATAATGTATAAAATTAGTTTAATTTACTACAAATATATATGAAAAATATAGGTTATATTTAAAATGAGTATGACATAAAAATAAAATTAGTTTTTTTACATTTAATTTAAAAAATAAATTATTCTTTAAAAATCCATGCATATGTCTGTAAAATTAAAAGTACATTTTGAAAATTAATTCCCTTAAAAATTATTTTAAAACTTATGTTTCTTGTTAATTATAAATGTTCAACAACTCAAATTCTATTAAATATCATTGTATTTTAAAATACCAAGAATACAAAGAATACAACCACCAGCTAAAATGTACACTAATTTATATACAGAAATATATAGTAAAAACAATATACTGGAAAAATAGATATTTTTACATTTTTAAAAAATACTTACGATTTAAAGATAAAGGAATAAAATAATGTTCAGGATAATCCTTATTTTTTGGTTGATTATTAATATTTTTACAGTCATCTTCAGACACTGCTTTATTTGATAATCCAAGTGATGGAACAGAAGCACCAAGTGGACATTTTGTGATATCTTAAAATATTTAATAGTACAACATTATTTTAGTAAATAAAATAAATAAACATAAACTGAATTCAAAAATAACTAAATCAGTATTAATATAAAATAAAAAATTTATATTTTTAATAACAAAAACATATTTACCAACAGAGTCGAAATTAATTTTAGATAATTGACTCATATTTTCTAAAAAGTTGTAAGGTGCTTGAAATGCTCTAATAACTTTTTCTTCAGCTGAAGATACATAACTTAAGCTTGACAACATAGCAACACTAGACATATTATAACCATGAACTTGGGGTCGCGCCATTTCATGCCAATTCTAAAATAAATATTGAATACATAGTAATTTAAGAATCAAGTTAATAATGTCAAAAATTCAAGCATACAAGATAATAACCATAATCTGTACATCGAAACTGATGGTTTGCGAGGGCCACTAGCCAGAATTTCTCTAACCATAGTTTCATTCTTATTGTATACTCAGTGGCTCACAAAAACACATAATAAATGCATTGTGTCGTCACATTGGTTGTATTATTATATGATACATAGTTATTTTTTTTTTTAATTATTTACAAAATGGATATGAAATAATGTCATGATTGAATGAATAAAAAAAAAATATTTCATATTCTGTATTACATGAAATTACTACTACTGCTACATGACTACACGACTACCAATAATGCATCTAAGTGATCATTTCCAATCAACTCAGTGCTTGATTTAGAAAAAAAATAGAAAGGGGACTCATCGCATGTTTGATAAACAAGCGTTCCACACAAAATTAACCGTCACATTACCGTGAGGGCAAATAGAAGGGGTACGCTAAAAAAAAATTTAAAAAGAAGGGGGACTCCGTCCCCCCACGCCCCCTCAAATCAAGCACTGAATCAACTTACAATTGATATGGTTTGGTATATGGTAAAAGAATTGATACACAGCAACTAACAAATTTTTACAGTTATTCTCAAGTCGATCAATGTATAAGTTTAAAAACAATCTTGAGAAATTAATATAATTTGAGTAGATTATGAAAATGTATAAGTTTGAGCTACTAGTCTGTCACTTTATCTGAATTCAGCACTTTCCACATAATTAATAAACATGTATAATTTGGCTATATGAGCTTTACTTGTAATATATCAAATAAATTTATAATTTAATTGAAATAACTTACACAAGAATGTAAATTGTTAACTGTGTTTGACTTCAGCCATTGTGCATGGATTCTGGAAGTTTGATCAGAACTTACAGAAACAATATATTTGCCTTCTGGATCCCAAGTAATATCTTCAACTGATCCAAAATGACCTCCAATTGTAACTCCAGGAGTCCAACTACCATTATTATTCTAATGTTTAAATTCAAATAATGTTTAATTTGTTTTTATTATTAATTTTTATTGCATACTTTTGTCCATAAATGAAATGATCCATTGTGTCCTTGAGCTAAAATGCTGTTACCATCAGGAGAAAATTTCCCACCATAAAACCCTAATGTATTACCACCAACTTCTCCCAATCTTATTAAATCAACCCAAAGACCACTGTTCTCATCATAAGCCCAAACTGCTAATGTTTTATCCATAGAAATTGAAAGCAATTCCATTTTTTTCTCTAAAATATAATATAGGATATAATAGGTATAACATTATATATACTTAATGTTGGACTGGTTTCATATAAAAAGATATTTATAACATTCCTTAACTGTTTCTTAATTGTAAACAAAAAATAAGTGATGAAAATGAGAAATTAAAATTCTCTTATTATAATTTATATTGTGTTAGATTTAAGTAAAGTTTTGTTGCTGCATAAAATCACATCATTCTTCAATATTTAAAACTCATTTAGTTGTTATAAATTTATATTGTTATATTGTAGTAGATTATAGTACAATGAGCAATTATTTAATCAAACAAATTATTATTTCAAAATCTATGAATGTTTTTCTCACATAATTTACAATTGAAATCAAATAACAATTTCTATTGTTATAATTTTTCAATTTGTTTACTTTTTTTAATGATATAATATATTATTAATTTAATAATATAAAGCAAAATACTTTTCAGAGTATTCCAATACATAAAAATCAAAATTCGGATTGGTAGTTGTAAGTATTTGAAGTTTAGATGATTGGAATTTATTCTAGATAATACTTTTAGAGTTGAACAATATTACCAATACATATTTTTAAGGATAGGGAAAACAAACAAAAATTAAAAAAAAAATGAAAATTTTTACATAAATCTAATTTATGATAAAATCGATTTTGTTTTTTTGATGTAACTCAGAAACGAATAACTACAGATACTTGAAATTTTCACCAAATATTTATATTATTTTATATTTACAATAAAATTTTCTAAATACTTCGACTACTCTTAAGCTATTCATAGGCATATAAAATTTGAATTTTTTTAGTTTTTTTTAATAAAATTATTTATTAGGTCAAAATTCTTAAAAATTTAATATAAGATCTTATAAATTTTATGCATAAAAATGTATAAAAATATTAAAAACATTTAAGTACAATTTTTTTTATTATCTTTCTAAGTTATAAATTGGATAAAATTACTTTACTCATGCGACACCTAATGAATAGCAGAGTGGTACTCACTTACCAAGGTTGAGGAGTATCTTAGATACAATTGTATTTTGTATCTTGATAAAATTATATGAAATATTGAGTACCTATCTTGTATAGCGATACTTTGAAAAATTAATTTTTTACAATTATTTTCATTCGCCTACCTATCAACTGCAACTGTTTGATTACGTTTTAGTAATGCGTGATATTTACCTAACTTTTAATTTATTGAAATATTCTAAAACATACTTTGCTTCAAAAGTTAAAAATATTAAATTAAAAATGAGTGTTGTTTGATAAAATATAAAAGAATCACACTGTATAGTTGAATCTTTTAATCTTATAATATGCTTTTGATTCTTTAAAAAAATGTTGTGAACCATAGGTAGGAAAACATTGCTTTTGTTAACTCTCTTTAAATTTACCTGTTCCAAAAGGAGGTTTCCAGTGCACTCCATAAATCCATCCATCATGTCCTGATATAACAGTTTCTAATTGAATCACATAAATACACTCAGAACCATCTTGTTTAGTCACATTAAATTTTTTACTCTCTAACTTTAATGTATCATCAAATTCTTTAATTGATTTGCAAGTGTTATAATTTTCTTCTATTGTAAATTTCCATAATCTTATAACAGAATCCTGAGATCCACTAGCAAGAAGTAGGTTCCCTAAATTACCTAAAAATATATATTGTGTAAGTTATTTAATGAGTACATATTTGTATTAAGCTAAGACAAATTTATATATATTATACAAATGGTTATCCCTGATCATTAATTCAAAAGAATTATAACTAATTTTACAAAATTGGCAATCACATATAATATTTACCTTCAGATATAAAATCTAATGAACGAACCCAGTCTTCATGACCTATTAATGAATGGCTGGAAACAAACACTGAATCACCATTACTAAAATCATTTATATACAACTGTATTTTACTATTTGATAAACCACACGCTAATAAAAGACAATTTGTGTTGGATAACAAAGTAATTTTTAGAGATAAACATAATATACTGTCAAAGTCTATAGTCTGGACACATTGAGATGTATCTGAAAATTAATAATTGATCAGTACAGATAAAGAGAACAAATACATTTAAATAACAGTAAATAATGACAGATTTTTAAATGATAAAGTGAACTTTAAGGGGTACATTAAAAAATGAAAAAACTTACTTTCATTTTTATGTTTAATCCAAATTTTAACAGTACAATCACCAGCAGCAGTTACAATAATAAGTGTCTGATTGGCAAGTCTTATAGCATCATTTATGGTAACAACATCAGAATGTCCTAAATACAAATTTTTTATACTTGAAGAATTAAATTTCATTATAACTAATAAAATATATATATATAAATTTTAATTAATTACCTAACTTGGTAAAGAAGTAATTAACTAATATTAAATTGATTTATAAAACTAGGATATCACAGTCAAATAATCAATATACACTGACCTTTGACGGTACTTCTATAAACTTAATTTTTGATGGGAACAATTTGTTCGTTTACCATACTTATCATATTATATAAATAAGCTATAAGAAGTATTACCAATTAGTCTTTCATAGGCTTTATAAGATCCTGTAGGAAGAACGTCTTCCCATAATATAGCTGTATTATCAGTTGAACAAGAAACAAAGTCTTGTTGGCAACAGCTGTCTAAAATTTGTACCCACTTAACACTATTTACACGCTTTGTATGCGCAACAAATGAAGAAATAACTCGTCCGTCACATTCGTTCTGAAATTAAATAATATACTTATTTTATTTTTTTATTTGTTTAGCTTATGTTAGTTATATACTGCACTTTTATAATTAACAACTAATAAATAATTAAATATAAATAAACAATAATGTAGGAGATAACATAGGAGGTTTTTTTGGGTCAAAAACAATTAACATTGTTTTAAAGAATAAAATGAGTAGTTTTTTTTAGCTATGTTTAGTAATTAGTAACGTGAAGGCAACATACTTTATAAAAATTAAAATTAAGCACCCATTTATATTTTAAAGAAAACAAATTTAAGGATTAAATTTATTTTTCATGGTCTGTCACTGTTTATAAGTGTCATTTCTATTGATGTCTACGTCTATTCGTATATTACTTGTTGCATAGGTGATTTAGTTGTCAAAAGTGTTAAATAAAAAGTGTTAATATGCTTTATGTCATAATACTATATAGTGAAGGTTATGAATATAAGCTTTAATTAATCTTCTAATCAACTTACCGTTATTTGAGGATCATATAAATGGATAGCGTTACAAGAACCATAAATAACTAATCCATTAACACCCCAATCTAAACAATTTGGTGTGCTGTTTACAGCAGAAGACACATATACTGTCTTAATTTGTTCAAATGTACGCATTTTCTTGTATCAATAAATAAGATCAAAATATAAAAAATATAAAACAAGTATAACGGTGGCTACTGTCAATAATTAAGATCAGGTATAAATTCGAAATTTCATTTAAATTATTTGTTACAGTGTATAAGATTGACTATAGACAATAGTTTCATAGATAAAAAGTAATATTGGAGCACGTGTTTAATGATATTTCTATAGTTCTTATCAGTATTTAGAAATGATGGTAAAAACTGAGATTGAACTAGAAGGAATCAAATACAAACCACGATTAATAACATTTTAAATTTTTTAAATACTGAATGATATAATAATATAACCATCGAACATTGAAATAGATATAAGTATATAACTAGGCAAGATCTATAAAGATTAGATCTTGATAACTAGGTTCTGAAGACTAATAAATGGTAATAATCATTGTTTATTAGTAGATATATCTTTATCAGTGTATCATGTAGTATCTAATCTCCATTCTGAACGTTATAATTTGTGTTACCCACAGTTATATGTATAAAATATTTTTATATATCTGTGCCCTGTGGTGTTACCTTTAGGCTATAAGTCATTTTTTACAATTATTTATGTATAAAATTACCCAGATTTCACTTTAAACGTTCAATATCTTGTGAAGTACTATTTATAATTATTAATTTATTACTTGAATAAAAACGAATTTTTCAGTGTTGGTAAAAAAAAATATTATTTAAAAGTAAGTAAGTTTATTTCATAATGGTTTATAATAAATTAGTCATATTTTATATTGATTTCCATACACAGGATATAATTTTTTTAATCTTTGATAGAATCTGTACATGGTAAACATTCTACATTTTAATTTAACGTGTTAAGCATCAATAATCATGTATATTCAATCAACGATAAGTTTCAAAATAATTTAAGTTCAGTACATTCAAAATAAAATAAAGAAAATATTAATTTGTTACTATGAAACCTCATAGAAGTACTTAAACTCAATACTTTCATTAACATACAGATCTATTCAATTTTATTATTTTTAGTCAATTAGAGTTAAAGATTACATCAGAATCAAAAAATTGAACAAATAGATTTGTTGAAGATTTAGTTACTGAAAATATAGATAACAATAACTTACTGCTCACGGAATTTGTTAGCTGCTGCTGCTGCAGCCAGGAATTCCAGTTGTGAACCTGACAAAATGTTAAAAGAATTTAATTTTTTTCAAGTATAACTTAGGGACTAAAACTGTGAGTAGTATGACATACTTAGTATAGTTTGGAATACTAAGTGTTTAATATAAAATTAAAAAAATTGTAATAATCTATCTTTTATTTTTATTGATTCTTATATATTAATAAAATTGTATATATTTTTAAAATCATCTTTTCTATATTATATGTATGTTACAGCTAGAAGTTAAAATCAAGCAAACCTCAAAATTGTCGGACAAATGCAAATTGCCACACAATATTTGAAAAAAATGTCATTTTGGCTTTTGCCTAACTTCATTTAGCATTATTGCAAAGACTTTTATCATAAGATTTTATCACGATTATTAATGATCATACTTAGTCAATCTATCATTGTTATTTTATTTTATTTACTATTTATATTATATGTATACAAAATACACCTTTGAAATCTCAAAAATTACAAATTACTAATTAATAATTATAATCAAATTATAAACCATTCACTTTTTTTTTATCTAAATTTTGAATATATAATACATAATTTTTTGTAAGTTGTTCATGTTGAAATCATAAAATATAAAAAATGTATAAAGACAACAATTACGTTTTTGAAAAAAAATTATTTATTTAAACAATAAATAACAATGTAATTTATCTTATTATAATTTAAAACATTCTTGGGAATTTAAATGTTGTATGTATATATTGTATGTTATATCATTATGAATTTTACCCTACGCAATAATATCTATGCTATGAACTTAATCCATCTGTATATATCATAAGACAATAAAATTAGATACATAACAATTTTTTTACTAATCAATAATCATAGTACTAAAAGTAAAATAAATGATTTTAATAGCCATGTTGGTATATCATTAAATAAATATACTTAATGATATAGGGTGACAAACCATCTCCGCTCAAAATTGTTTTTCATATATTATAATAGATCATTAAATTCAAATTTAGCATACCAATAACGGTATTAACAGTGATCCTCCTAATGAACTGATGTACAGCAGTACATTACTTGCCTACTTTTTTTATGTGTATTTAATGATTCTTAAAAAATATTGTTTTACTATTATTTATTTTTAAAATTAATATTTGTAATAGTATTCAAGGTACCATGGTATTACCCAAATAATAAGGTTTATAATAAACCGCTTATTAGAACAAAAGCTGAAATATCACATTTTTCAAAAGTATAGTGCAGTAGTTTCCAACCTTATTTATTCTATGCCCCCATTTTTAGATTTTCAAAAATCTCGCGCCCCCACCCCCACCTATAAATTGAAAAAATTATAATTTTTTTGTTTACTTTACATTTTACAAATAAACTATATAATATTCGGAAAGACTACTTTTATATTGATGATAGTAATTATAAAATATAAATAATTGTAAATAATATATAGTATTAAAGCGGCATTTTAAATATAATAAAATTTGATGAATAAAAATTTTACTTTGTGATCACTGCTTGCGCCTCCCCAGTGATATGTATATGCCCCCCAGGTTGGAAACCACTGGTATAGTGGGTAATTTATGTCTTCCCCGTAAAAATATACTTTTAACCATAAATGTATCATTGATATAGAAACTTTTAGAAATTTATGTTTATGCGTGTTTTAAACATATAATGTATTTTGGGGGTATGGGACTAAAACCCCACACAGTAATGCCAAGTTTATTATAAATTGTATAGTCAGAAAAATTTATATTTTAATCTATGGTGTAATGTTATTAAATTTTTATAGAAGTTGGACTATGTACAGCTAATGCTTAACACTTTCAGTTGTGAATAAAGAATGAAAAATTAATTAATTGTTGCAGGTTAGTGGTTACCTTAACAATAATAATATAGCTTTGTGCCATTGTTACTGTGGAGAAGGAAGATAATAATAGTTTCTTTAATTAATGTTTTTGTAAAACATTGGCTGGAGCCTGGATTTCTGGATAATCATTAAAATTACTTAGAAAATAAAAATTATTGTAATATATTTATTTTTCCAAACAATTCATCAAAATATTGTTGTCAATATTATTTATACTTGAAATTAAAAACAATATAAAATAAATCATGTTTTTAAAAATAACGTAACATATATCTAATTAGAAAATAAAAATACTAAGAATACAAAAAATATTAATTGAATTTAGGTTCATAAAAGATTTTTTAACTTTCCTTGTACAATATAGTAGGTATTTATAATTTAACTTTTTTTTAAATGAATTACAATTTTAAGAAAAATCATGATTGATTTTATGCAATAGATGATTTTAAATAAGTTTTGGCTTTTTCATAGTCATTGTCGAATCTCTTCAATACTATAATATTCTGAATCGTGTTGGTAAATCCATCTGCTACTAACATTTCTAATAAAACATCAATATCTTTAGGTATAACATTTGGAAGTGATTTGGGTGTATCCGATTTTATGTTTTCAAAAATGGTTGATGAGTTCTGTAATATTTAATATAGGTTTTATTTGAATTCAATTATTGTGGAAATTATATTGTAACTTTACATTATTAGACCCTGAAGTAGTTGTTGATAACTTTTCTTTGTCCTTTTTTGTTTTTTTTGGACGTACATATACACCGGGCTTACTTTCTTTTAGGTCTTCATCGCCTAAATTAATACATTTATTTAAAAAATTATAAAATATTTGAACTTATCATATTCAATTTTCAAACTTACCTAAGGAATCCTTTAATTTGTTTCCAGAATCTATCTGTAAGTACTCCGTCAAAATCGACCTATACATATACTTGAATGAGTTTTATAAATTATAAATACTAGTATTTATGTATTTATTAAAATACCTAATAGCTGAAAAGGTATTGGTTTTATTTTCATCAATTTTCATGGTAAATTCATCTGATAATTTATTGACTTGAAATGTTAAATTTTCTATTTTTTTTGATAAAACCTGAAATTTAAATTATAATTAATATTTTTCTTTTTTATATAAAATTGTAAAATACAATTTCACATTACCATAAGTTCAGCGTTTGTGTCATTTGGCAATTTATGAACTACAATTACTACAAGTTCAACATTGCAATAAATTTCTTGGGTTACAACATTATATGAAAGTTTTGTTTTCTATAATTGATATATAATGTTAATAAGTAGATAATTAAGTGTAAAATGTATAATTCTATAAATATTAAATTTTTTTTCTCAAAAACTCTTCGTAAAGATTAACTATAATAACATCATATAATAGTACTTGTTTATTATGTCTATACAGAAATTATCACCCACCCACCAGGTAACTTTCTGTTATTTGGATATTTTTTAAAATTAAAAAACTTTTAAATAAAAGTATAGTTTTTAAGTTAATAATTAATACTTAATGATTATATATAAATAAAGACAAAAAATATGACAATATTAAACGTCATACTCTTTTGTTTGTTTATTAAAAATTGAATGCCAAAATATCTCATTTAAAATTAATTATTGACAATATTTTAAAATAAGTTAATGAAGTTCATGAGAAAAAAGCTAATTTAATGCCAATCCACTTCATCAGTTACAATACTAAAAAATGCCAAAAAATAATGTCAACGATTAGTTTCTTATGAAATAAAATTATAACTTTGATAATTCATGAGCGAAATAAAATAATTTTAAATCAATAAACCTAATACTATGTTATACTGCTAAATTTTACCTTTAAAAATTCAATATCATCATCAGATTGAAGCACAGTCTATAAAAAAAATAAAATTTTAACTATGTAAATTTATTGTAGTACCTAAGTACATGTATAAGTAGTCATATTTTTATGCAGTATTCAAAGAGTTAATTGAAAATAATAGATTATAATATTAAAATTATCTCACCATTTTTCCATCAGGTCCTGGGTATAATATCACTATTTCATCTGTTTCCTCCAACTTTAATTCATTTTTCTATAAAATATCATAAATTAAATTGAATTTATAGAATATACCATATTGATAAAAATTAAATAAATTGTTAAGCTATCGTCTATACTAGAATGAATAGAAGCTTATGTGTAAGAAAAAAAATAAAATTAAGAGGTATTAGTAAAATTGTTGATTAATAATGTAACAGTTAAGTAAAAATCTATTTATTTACCAGTGTTTCAATGAATCCAGATATATTTGAAGGTGTTTCTAACTTAAGTTCAATCAATTCTTTTTCTCGGCGAATGTTAAATGTAATAAAATTGTTAGACATGGTGGTCAGGTATGTGTCGATTTTTCAATTTTAACTAAGTATGTGAATAACTATTAAATAAACTTGAGGAATAATTATTGGATTTAAAATATATTCTATAATACTATAAGAAATATGATGTATTGAAACCGAAGAAAAAATAATAAAATATAATTTAACAGTTTATCTTGTGTCCGTATCTGAAAAATTAAATTAATACTAAATAGTTACCAATTGATTAATGTATAATGCTAAATAATCGAGGAATAGAACCAAAACATGTGCTAACTGCTGACTGGTGACTATGCTCAAAACAACAAAACATTAAAACAGTACAAACTATATAGCAGTGTGCGCTGTGTAGAGTACAGACAAAGAAGAACTAGACGAATAAAAACGGAAAAACCTAAAAAGCTTATATGACAAAAATACAAAATTAACAAATCCTAAATCGGCATTTAATTTTAACATCTAATCACAAGATAAGACTAGATTAACACGAACTAAGATATACAGGACTGGAAACGACCAAATATCTCAGGGAACCCAATTGACTAACGAAAAGTACACATCGATTCTTGGCGCACTCTACCAGCCAATTAGTTTACTACTCATTTTAATTTTAATCATAGTATACATTTTTGACATTTGATAAAAAATTATAAAATAAATTAAAAAAATCTAATATTTTTGTACTATAGTAGGTATATTTTAATATTTATGAAACTGTAAGTTTAGAACATTTTTTCTTCTTAGCATTCACTTTTGCAACATTTTTATTAACTATTTGTGTATACTGCCGCATTCGCATGGTAATGTAGTATGACAAAATTGAAGTTAATGTATCACATTTGTGTTGACTACAAGGCCACTTAATGCTATTTAATGAGCCTGAAAAAAAATCATTAACCGTCAAATTAAATGCATCGCTGTAATCACAAAATTTAGAAAATGATTTTTCAATTTCTGTAATTAAAGAAAATAAAATCTTATTTGGGTAAGTTAATGCTCCTCTTGATTTTAAATTTGTCAGTACTGATTCCGGCCTATCACAAAAATCTGTTGTGCCTGAAAAATTATTAACTTTTTTAATATTTACTTTAGATTTAGATTGATCAGTTTCAAAGTGTTCCTATGTAGATATAAATTATACTTACCAACTATTGCCTTCTGACAGACCTTGCAATTTATATGCTTCATGAAGTACCTTGTTATGTATCCACATATATAATATAAAACACAGGTTTCTGTGTCAACTTTAAAATAATTATGATCATTATTATCAAATACATCTTCTACTTCTAAACCTACTGTCACATAGGAATCTAGTGTTTTACGTAAGTGCTCAATTTTTTTTTTTTTTCTGTGATGTCATTAGTATTAAAAATGGTTTTTAAATCACTAATAGTAATTTTGGGAGTTTCCAAACTTAAAATTGATAAAATTGATACTATACTTAGCATACTTGCCTACTTTAAAATCATTTTTAATCCCTTCAGCTGGGTATTTTCGATTCAAAACATCAAACAATAAATTTAATCTTTCAGTAAATTTTTGCGTTTCATAACTGTTTTTTAATGAATCAATCTTAATATATTCCCTATAAAACTGAATACCCTTAGCCATAGAATCACTGAATATCTGCAACACCATTTGTCAAATTTGTATAAATTATCATCTACAATTCTACAATAATGTCTAAAATATAAATATTTTGTTTAGTTACTTGAGTGGCTAGTTTCACACTCATTTTAGCAAAATTGTCTGGAGCTATATGTCTTGGTGTTATTTTAGGGCATACTTTGGTTGGAGAGTTTGAATTTCTTGCTATATCATTCATATATACATCTACATAATGTGACCATCTAATAAAAGGCTTTTCTGGAGACTCCTAAGTATATATATTATAACTTATAAGTATTATTTAAATGCAAAAGGTTTGACTTGTTTGGTGTTCAGTTATATTACTTACTCTTAAACTCTTTTTGTTGTACAACCTGTTTCTGACATTTTTTATTAGATGAGGTGCATCAGAAAACATGTACACCTTTTTATTGTTTTTCAGAGGATGTTCAAAATAATTTTTTACTTGGCCTTTTTGACCACTAACTCCAAGTTCAGCCCAAAGTTTTCTGTTGGTTGATGCTCCATCAGAAACCACACCATTGACCTTCGCACCAATACCTTCCAGAAGGCAAATAGCTTTTATGACGAGCTGAGCAAGAACTATACTTATTATAATTATTTAAAACTGAGTATTATTCATAATTTACATTTAAAATAAAAAATTAAACATTATTAAAACATATATTTTTCATTAAAAAATAACTTACTGCTTGTTATTATCAAATATTGAATATAGAACATGAACTAAGTTATACATAGTCAAATGTGCTTTAGAATTGTATGAAGACAGTAGATTTATAAAATAAATTATAAATCATTTATTTTACACGTATCAAATATTTCTTGAAACATCAACATGCAATACACAAAACACAGTACACAGGCCTTAAAATGTTAAATTGCGTGAGAATACAGATGACAAAACATAGAAAACACAAAACATAAATTGAGTTAGATTATTATTAAATATTTCCATTACAATATTATTATGACAACAACTACTATAGAATAGAACTGAATATATTATGTTTTACAAACAAACAGATAATACAATAGTACAATATTTTAAATATATAACATTAATTTTAATTGTTTGTACACCTTCCTTAAGCTAATGGTTGTGTTGAAGGTGTGAACTATACTAAGTAATATAATATTACCTTTTACAGGACCCCTAGAAGCAAACACTGCTACTGGCTGGGAGATATTTGCAGCTAAGCTTTGAAATATAAATACTAAACAATGATTAGCTTTTAACCCTGAACTTTTCACATCTTCACCAAAATCTTCTAGTCCAGAGTAATTTAAAGTTTTAGAATTTACACTAATACTTTCCCGTACGCATATTTCATCAAAAATTAACATGCCTTGCTTTTGATTGGAAGTAAGCATGCTAAATTTTTTTTTTAATAATTGGAAAAATTGTTTGTCAAATCCACATTGTGTATTAACAAGTGATAAATATTTACGTGTGGTACGTACAGAAGGCAAAGGTAAAATGTCTTGTTGTTTTAAAAATGTATACGTAGAAGGTGACCTATAAAAATTGAATTACCTTTCATTAATTATAATATTTAATTCAATATTAAATAATAATTACCGAATCCTTAATAAAATACATAATAAAATCCAGTCTTCACTGTAACGTTTATTATTTGGTATCGTCGCTCTACTTGTATTAATTATTTCTTTGATAATTAACTTCTGTGGATCATTCAAATTGTTTGAATCTAATAAATCATTTATAGAAGAGATAGACATATTTTTAATTTTAACATGGGACTGTTCTAATTCAGTGTTTAATTTAGATATTTTTGTTTGAAATCTAAAATACATATAAAAATATAATTACAATATTACATTATAATATTTAACTATCTGATATTGTATAATATAATTTCACTATGATTTTAATAAAAATATTACCTTAAATTACATTTCTGTAAATATTTTTTTTTTTTATATAACTTTATTCAACACACTGCGACGTGTTGGAGTCAGTGTAGAACCTATATATTTGTTTTTAGTAATCAAAGACCTACATTTGCGGTGTCTTAAGTAAGAAAACAATGTATTACAGTAATTGCACCTTTTTTTTTCATCTATTAGGATAGGACATTTAACGTGGTGCCAAAAGTTGCTTTCAAGATAAGCATTTTTCAGATGTATTCCTAAACATAAAATCAGTTGTGTTAGATTTTTTTCACCAAGAACTAAAAGTTAGAATATTAAGACAACATAGAAAATGTATTGTTATTAATACCGGGATAATCAATAGGTTTTGGTCCACCTTGACATGTCAATTTCCAATCAAAAGTAATTATTGCCTGTGTTATACATTCTATATTAATAGGATATGTTAGTTTAATCATTCCTATACTTTCAGGTTGAATACAAAACTTATTGACATAAAAGTCAATTGATAAATCATCTTTGAAAACTATTTGTTTTTCAATCACTAATTGTTTCTTACTTTCTTCGATGTTGAAGTTATTAATTAAGGGTTTGTATAAAATTATAGTCGTTTCATTTTTGTATAAATTCCATCCTACTGGTAATGTCATACTCTCAATTACATTATATTTAAAGTTTGAAAAATAGTCATACTCCTAGAATAACAAAAATATTTATCCTCACAAAACATATTTTCTAAATAAATTAAAATGTTTACTTTAGAACAGCTCAAACGTAATCGTTTACTCAGACATATTTCGTTATTATCTAGTTCTGTAGCTAGTTCTTGTGAATTAATCTGTTGATCTTGTATAACCTTTCATTTATAGCATAAAAATTTGAAAATTAACATTTGTTTCATTGTTTTATAATAATTAAGCATAGAAATATATTAATTGTATAAAATATTTTAAATGATACCTCTTGTCTGAATAATTCCCTCCTAAATATTTCTGTGTGGCATTGTAAATTAGATACTTTATTAATATTTTGAGCACTTTGAGAAATAAGATTCTCATGTACAAATACTGTAGGTATTGCCCCTTTCTTTAAGCCCGGTTTCACCCTTTGACCAATAAACTGTATATAATTTAAATAGCAAAGTTACAAAACTAAATATATCTACATAATATTATATCTACTTAATGTTGGTCTACCATCTACGATACTCACACTGCTGCAGATATCACTTGGCACAGAGTATGATGTTAAAAAATCATCACTAGTGAAATGTTCTGAGCAAACATATTTTAAAGGTGTTTTTTGATTATTCACCTTACTTACAGCAGTATTCCAAACTAATTTTAAATCATTTGGTACTTTATGTAAAGATGTTTTTGGATTTTTTTTTCTGCTAGTACATCCAACCACAGAACATACACGCATTTTGTAATTCAAATGTATAATATATATTCAATTTAAAATACCAAATAACAAAATAGTTCTCAAATTATTAACTAAAATTTACATTTTTGCAAATTATCATAACTAGGGCACTATAGAACTTGTTATAATATGTTATATTATATGTTCTATAGAGCATAGAGCCTTACCATAACTAAATAGATCTACTTAGTCATGCAAATTACTATAAATATACATAAATTGAGCGGCAAATTAAAAAAGGAACTTGGTGATTTGGTACATTTAGTTGTATTATAGATGGCGCTTGAGATCGATGTGTACGATTAGCTAGACAATTGTGGACCCATCTCCCGCACTCCGCCGATCATGACGTTTTCAGTCCTGTATATCTTAGTTCGTGAGATTAATCATTAATCAGAATTCACTATTCACTATTCAGTATGTCTATTGTCTGATAGTGCAATACGTCATTTGCCTATAAGTTATATTTTTTAAATTATTGCTTGCTGTAACAACTGCTGTTACGATGACTATGTGAGTGGGCACTAGGCAAGTTCTCCTAAAATATTATTGTTCTAATGAACGATTTTCCCAATTTTAGGACAACAATTATTAACATGTATAATATGTCTTATGGCAGGGGGTTATTTTAATTTGTCCGACATCGAGAATGTTACCATGACGTCATTGGTGCGTTCACGTGTGAATGTGTTCGTGCGTCGACCGGTTTCTGGGAATTACTAATTAGCGATTACACGAACGTTATCGAAATCGCGGTGGCTTGTGTCTTCAGTCTTGTGATCTATTAGTAACATTAGGTGTAGCCTGTTGTATAATAAATGTATTGACGATAAAAATTACTATTTTCAACTATTTATGTTTTTATTAACTATTTTATCGACACATCGAGAAGCTTGAAATTCGTGAGTACGTTTCATATTTCAGTAAACACCGTCCTTTATTATCCATTACTAAAAGTATTGTAAATGACGATTTTGTAGTTTAAAAAATTAAAAATTTAGTAAAATGTATACTCAATAAATAATTGCTGTCTTTGAAAAATAAATAATTCCTATCTTTGAAACTTGTTTATTTTTTACACGGGTTAAAAAAGTTACCTACAGTTTAATCCTCGTCTCCTCGTATCTAATATCAAATTGACATCGACATTCTTATGTCAACTATATTCAGTAGAAACAAGACATATACGATATACATGTACCAATGTATCTGTATGTAGTAGACAGTGTATTATAGTTATTTAGAATTCAAAATATTTGGACAATTATCTAATTATCTAATTAGATTAATCTAATAAATAATTAAAAATTATTATTATTACAACTATATTTTCCTAACAGTGTATATTTCTAATAACTAATTCTCCCAATTTATTTTTAATTCTTAATTAGTTATTCGATGTCTTTTATTCTTAAAAGTAAAAATACATTATTAGATTGTCTTTCAATTATTATAAGACTAAATTATGAATTAACAATTAACCGAGTATACTCTTTAAATTGAGTTAAGGTTAGGTTAATTAAGTTAATCCCTAAATTATTATCCAATTAAAAAAAAAAATTTGCTCCAATTTTGGGAGAATATTTAGTTGAAATAAAATTATAATAATAAAAGTATGGTAGGTTCATAGATAATAATATGTATTCAAATGAAATATTCGTGTCTTATTTTTACTCTGATTGTAGTTATAAAGTTGATATTCATATTCAATTTATTCATTTTTTAGTTTAACTGAAATTGACAGTGGCAATAATATGACAATCATTTTCCAGACGGATAACCTATTGAGATTTTGCCATTTATCAGATTCATGATGCATTAAATAAGTAATAGTAGTGGCTTAATTTATGCTGTACAAAGTGTACAAACACTTGTCTTATTTATTTAATTTTAAAACTCTTAACTTACCATTTTACATAATAATAATTGTAGTTACGTATTAAATGTTTCTTTTAAATTATGAAAAAATCTTCTAGTATAGCTCATTCGTTTAGACGAATAGATCACCACTATAGTTATATAATATGTAATGTACACCATTTAAATAAATGCATTATTATCTCCTTCTTCTTCTTATAATATAAAACGAAGAATAGTTCGCATTTTATCCGATAAGTATATTGCCAATCGGAAAATTAGATTTTTTTTCTATCTATATGTCGTACCGCCGTTATCACCCGCCGCCGACGACCGTTATCGTTATCGGTCGTTATTATTACTGTTAAACTCTTTTTACAGTTTTTTCCGCTTTTTTGGTTTTTTGAGACGATTTTCTGTCGCGTTATCGAGTTTATCGCGTAGAGCGTGTCTTTTTCGTTCTGTGCGTGTGCGGTTTTTTTTACGCAGATTAGGTCCTCGGCCGTATCCGTAATGATAACAGAGGCGGGCTCCGGTCGAACGTATTTTTACGATTTTTCTCTGAACGACGAACGTGAGTCGGTTTTGCTTTTTTCGCGTCCGTGTGATCTCTGATTGTGTAGAACGCGTCTTTTGCGAGCCGTTTGTATGCCATTTGTCCCTAATTTCGGTTCGGAAAACGCGTACGCGCAGTGTGTTATAAATCACATTATTTATCTGTATGAAATACGTGTTATTTTGTTTTCGGTGTCTTAACTCTCAGACACCTCCATTATTTCATCAGTACTGTCTCGATAGTATATAAAATACTTTATATGTATAAAAAACTGGCATACCATTTAGTTTTTTGCATAAATTTGGTGTGATATCATGATATATATGTATGCAGTGCGTACTCATTGTGAGAAGAGGGGTTCATGGAGTTTGAATTCCCTCTATTGGCTATATTTTTTTTTCTATTTCATATGAGTATCACAATATAATATTTATAAATCAATTTAAAAATTGGTTTATTGTGAATAATTGTGATAATGTTGTTGCGTGCCAATATCAGATCCAGGTCCAAGGTGTTATTTAAAAGAAAATGATAACTCTTAAGAACAATAATGTATTTATTAAGTATAAATAAAGTTCATGTAACTGATACAAAAAGCGGCTGAGTGCCGTGAAGGTGCTCAGGTCTCTGTGGCTCTGGTACATCTGCTATTGCTGATCTCTGGGCTCCCTTATATATGAAGAAGCTTCTTGTTATTGTAGTCCATAGCCTTTCATTTTGTATTTATTCTTGGAATTGTTTTGATACTTGTTTTTGGTAAAAACAATCTCCAAGATGCAATCTTTCCCTAATTGTCAACTCGTGCAAATGCAATAATGTATTTCACTCGATCTCGGAACACGCAATGTAATATTGCGATGTTTATTATGATGTTGAAAGTAGAAAATGCAACAAGATTCATAAAAGTATGTACCTACTATCTCGTGTTATGATCATTAATAATAAATCCAACTCCCCGAAACGTGACATGGTCATGCTAATACTTATATTAGCAATATTACATATTATACCATGTATACTTATATTTAACAATAAATCTCGTAGCCCATAACAATGTGATGATTTTGTGTGTGCTTAAACGCCTGATTAAAATTAATTTATAGTTTGTACTGTTTCTAGTGTGGCAATATTGAAAATGCTATATTGTATTTATTATTTTATTATGTACGTTATAGTATATTTTTGATTTCATATGTGGTTTTCCCATGTAGAAATCATAATCGGCCAAGTATAAAAATTATATAAATTAACATATATATATTTATCTATTTATAAAATGTTCAATAATGTTCTTCGGATTGAAGGACGATTATTATCGATCAGTTGTCGTCCATCATCAATGAAATAAGGTATATCTTGGTTTTAATTCAATAAGCGCAAATCACCCAAAAACATTAAGGGGCTTAGCACCAAAAATGTTTGAGGAAACAGACCAAACTCATGAGGGGCTTCGCCTTCACACACCCCAATAGTACTACACCATATATTATATAAATAAAAATTTAAAATACAAATCAAACAAATAGAACTAAACATTTTATATAAAAAAGATATATCTTTTTTATTATTATTTATTTATCAAAAATTTAAAGACAAAGGGCGCTTATTTTCAGCAAACTTATTTAAAATTATGTCACTATAAATGACTATATCGCTCTCAATATGAATTATCGATAAGTCAGATAGTCTTTCCTGACCCATCGTAGTACGTGTTCAAGATTTTATTCTTCTTATTGCAGAAAAGCTTCTTTCACATAAAGCAGATGAAATCGGCAAAACTAAGGCTACTTGAAGTAGCTTGAACAGATTTGGATAAATAGTTTTGCTGATTACCTGTTTTAACTCTTTCAAGCCAAATTTGTTACCAAGTTGAATTGCAAAATTTCTAGCAACTGTCATTTCCGACTTCAAACACTCCATGTTTATTGAAAACAAATCTTTAAATATAGAATTATTTTATTATATAAAAATTTACTTAATATAATATTTAAAAGGGATTTAAAAATATTTTTCAAACCTTGTAATGGTTAATAAAATATAATGAATTGGTAAAGTCAAGACTTATAAAACTCTCTTTTGCTTGGGCTAATTTTTGCGATTCTTCGGAAAATCTTAATTTTAAATGACTTAAAATGGTATCAACAATAGGGTTGTAAAAATGATTACGCCGATAGTTTTGAATTTGTTTGTCTATGGTTTCTGTACATTGTATTGGTAGCTGTTGTTCTGCATCAGTAGCAACAGTAACATCAAATTCTCTTAAATGATAAGGTTCAGTATGCTGTTCTTTTTGATTCTAAAAAAAAAAAAAATAATAATAACTACATTAACATTTAACATATTTTTTACTATTTATTTAAATAATACAAAAGCAAATTGAAGTGTTAACTACTTAATATTAATCATAATTAGTATTTAATTACTTTTTGGAATATCAAGTGAAATATCATTTTTAGATGCAAAATTTGAAATTTTATCCCAAATTCCAGAAAAGTGATCAATATTTCTCATTTCTTCATATGTTTTTATCACTCCATTTATGGTATTTTTAGCATTGCTCAAATTAGTATTTTTTTGTTGTAACTGCTTACTCAGTATATTTATTATTTTCAATATTTTATGGAATATAAATAGATGAAATACAAATGTTGGAGTTTTCATCAAGTTCAAGAGACCTTTCAATAGAAAAGATATAGTTACTAATTAAGTAAAAATAAAAGATATAATAACTAGTAATGGGTATTAATAATGAGAAACATTTTAAAATTATACATTTATCATTATCATAAATTAAAATGTTCGTATAACTGATTGTTACCAATTGTTATGGCACATCTCTATTTAAACCTTTTTTTTTCAGTACCGATTTTTGTAGTAGGTGAGACGGAAGTAATTGAGGCCGAAAATGTTTCAGATTTACTTGAATGCTGCAAAGACTAAAATTGTAAAAAAATTATATTTACCTAAATCTATATAATATACATATACTGTATAAACTTAGCCTAATACTGATTGAAAGAACATACCTCAAATTCCTTGTCTGTATTCGACATTTTTTTATTGAAATATGAAAAAAATGTATTCATTTTTTTTTTTTATGTATTTAATTTATGTAGTATGATCAAAAAGTTCCCGGAATTTATTTATAGAAAAAAAAAAAAAACTATTTTTCTTATCAAATATCTGTTTATTGGAATTAAAAGTAGACATTATTAGCTATCTGTAGGTTTTGTCGTTAAAATTACATTAGTCTCATGTGAGTCATAATCGTGTCCATACGAAACGGAGTTTACGCATATTTTCAAAATGTCACAATTTGAACAACGCGCTAACATTAAATTTTGTTTTAAACTTGGAAAAACTGCTGCAGAAACGCTTGAATGTTTGAAAACAGTTTATGGCAATGAAGCATTAAAGAAAACAGCCGTTTATGATTGGTTTAAACGGTTCAAAAATGGTCAAGAGTCACTCGAAGACGAAGAGTGGAGTGGCCGGCCGCCAACTTCAAAAAATGATGAAACAATCGAAAAAGTTAAAAATTTGGTGCGATCAGATCGTCGTTTACGCATTCAAGATATGGCAAATGCATTAGGAATATCGTATGGTTCAGTTCAAAACATTTTGAAAGATGATTTAGGAATGCGGAGCGTTTGTGCGAAATTTGTTCCACGCATTTTGACCGAAGACCAAATGGAAAACAGAAAATTGATTGCCGCTGAACTTTTCGAACGTTCTGTAAATGAAAAAGATTTTTTATCAAAAATCGTTACAGGCGATGAAACTTGGGTTTTCGCTTATGACCCAGAGACAAAATTGCAGTCATCAGAACAACATCGTCACCGAGGCCAAAAAATCACGTGTTGTCAAATCACAATTGAAGGTCATGTTGATTGTGTTCTTCGACAATGAAGGGTTAGTTCACTGGGAATTTGTACCTAATGGACAAACAGTCAACTCATGTTTTTATATTGAAGTTTTAAAGTGTTTAAGAGATTCAATTCGGCGAAAAAGGCAAAGAAAATGGGAAAATGGTTGGTTTTTGCATCATGACAATGCACCGTGCCACTCGTCTTTTGCAGTTCGGCAATTTTTAACGGATAAAAAAATTTCTACAATTCCACAACCCCCGTATTCGTCAGACATTGCTCCATGTGACTTCTGGCTGTTTCCAAATCTAAAACTTGGACTCAAAGGTGAACGTTTTGCGACGATTGAAGACATTAAAGTTAACGCAACAGCAAATCTCAGGGCCATTCCAATTAGGCCAGGCAAAGAAGAAAAAATGGCAGAAAAAAATCCCATTGTACTTCGTTCCAGTTACATGTGCTATGATGACCAAACGAGACATGTCTAGTGTCTACGCGTCTTCGAAATTGTTCAATTATTATGGTACCGTTTAGTATTTTATTATTTTTGCTATAAAATTATAATTATATTATTATTATTACATACTATATTTGTATTTACTTATACGTAGTAGGATCAAAAGTTCCAAATTTCATTTATTTTTATGTATACAAATTTAAATATAAAATCTACTTAATCTCCTTCAAAGTATCGTCCTTCAGTACAGACAACTTACTCCAACGACTTTGTAACTACTGAAACA